GAATAATGATATTATCCTTTTGAGTAACTGAACTATTTGTGAAGATATTTTGAACATTAAGGAAACTTTAGTGAAAGTTCAAAAGGGTAAAAGTTTTAGGAAAAAGGCTAAGTAACAATTCAACCCCCCTTCTTGTAATATTCTGACCATTTTCAAGTGATGATGATGAGTAAGTATAAGTAGAGGCTTAGTAGTGACCATATTTAGGCAATGCTTTATATTTTGTGGAGAAGTCTAAATAGATAGGTTTAACAAGTTGTTGTTGGATTGCATTTGTTGTATGGAGTCTATACATTGCATGCATTTTTTTTTTGGGAAATGGTGTGAATCTATGTAAGAGGGTCTTTATGTTCTTTTACCTATACCTTAAGGGTGTTATGGTGGGGAGACCCTAATGAGTACAGGAGGCAGCCATCATCAGTTGTAATGCTTTAATTGGATCTTAATATCTCTCTCTTAATTGAGAGTGTATTGATAGGGTCAACCACTATGTAGTGATCCAATTCATAAAAAAACGTTTTGGGGTTAGGACGTCTTGTGTGAGAACAAAATAACACAAAAAAAATATTGATGATGAGGGCAGTTTTCATCTAATCAGAAGAGAATAAAAGAACTGAGGGACATTTTTTAAGTAAAAAAAATTAACAAAAGGAGCTCGGAGGGGCATTTTTTAAGTGATGTCCCATCTCCCTTATCAACTCAATGATGTAGAAAAAGAAAAAGAAAATAAAATGAAAGGAACTTAGGAGGAGGGTTTTTTTTGTGATGTCCTATCTCCTCTTGTCAAAGTCAATCACACAAAGTAATGAAGAGGACGAAAAAAAAACAAAAAAAAATTGGGGGAAGGCATTTTATAAGTCATGTTTCATCTCTCTCAAGCCAAATCAGAAAGTCAAATAAACGTGTGAAATGGGGAAGGACGTGAGAAACAAAAAAGTTGGGAGGTGGAGCCTTTTTTGTGTGAAATTTGGATTCTACATGATTAATGATTGATGAAAAATATAGGGGTTGATATTTGTTTATAAAACTATTCGCCCCTCCTATTCTTCTCACCATTTGAGCCACTCTGCCCCTCCTTTCTTATTCTTATTATCTCTTCCGTTACAACTCCAATTCTCTTATTTTCTAGTTTTTTGTTATTTGTTACTTCTTTCATTTTTGATGTTTTCTCAGCCTAATTGGTACTTTTTTATATTTCATCATTGTTTGATGGGTTTAATTTAACTCCTTTGTTGGTAGTTAGATTTTTTTTTTTTAAGTTTATGGCAAATATTTTTTGTTGATAATGAATATTGTTTTTGAGTATTTTGTTTGTTGCTAATTATTTTGGTTAGTGGTTATTTTGGTCATTAATTTTTATTTTAAACTTTTTTTAGATGTAATTTTTTTAATAAAAATTATCATTTTATATTGAAGGTTGATGTAAATCAAATATCATCTATTATTCTTTTCAAATTTGTATTTCAAATTAAGGTTAGTTACGATATTTAAATTTAAATAGTTCCATTATATTTTTCTACATGTATTTTGTAAGTTGTAGCAAAAAATTAATGAGTTGAATATTTAAAACATTTATTCTCTGATTATTTAGTAATTTATGTGTCAAAAACTGTACACCTACTTAGTTACTCTATGTGAAGAATTAAGGAAATATTTTATTGATTTTTTTATTGTTTTAGAAATTAATATTAGGATTGATTTTGAATTTTTGTTTGTTTTATTTTATTTATTTACATGTTTAAAGTATTATATTACATTCATTTAATTATTATAGTAGTTAAAGTAGATTTTAAGAAAAAGTAATTGTGTTGTTATTTTTTTCAAAAATTAAATTTCCTTTGACTTATTAATATTACTTTAATTTATGCTTGAATTTAAATTTTAAATGAAATATATTTAAACTTAAGTAAATTAATTCATTTTTTATTTATTTATGTTATTATTTTGAATTAACTAGTTTTTAAGTCACATTAATAAATGTCAAACTAATAAATATTATTAATGTTAGTAATATGTTAAATTTTATTTTCTTTAAAGTTCATTTTTTTTATTTATACTTTTAAAGCATTATATTATAATTTTAAAATAGACATAGATGCATTTAATTAGTATAGTGGTTGAAGTCAATTTTAAGGAAAAACATGTGTTATTATTTAATTATATTAACATAATTTATGTTTTTTTATGATTACATTCTCGAAAAATAGTTCATCATGAACCTCCAGATGACTCATTACTGATGTTCAAGCATACCACATGTGAGAGCATATTTAGAATGATGGAAAGATAGGATACTAAAGGTAAGAAGAGTCACTAAGAGTGAATTTCATTATGGGACAAATTCATATGAAATTCAATTGATTTTGCAACGAGTTCACTTTTTAGGCGTGTCCCAGATAATGTATTTTTCAATTAATCCATACCTTTCATATGACCTTTGCAAAGTGTATAATTACTTTGAAAGACATTACTATTTTGTTTGGGTTGAAGGTTAATGGAGAGCCCGTGATTGATTTTGCTAAATGTCAACAGGTTCATCATTTGAAACAATTGTTAGGAATTTCACCCCCATCAAGTGTGCTAAGTAGTGGTACATTGAGAATGAATTTAATTAACCATTAATTTTTTGATGCCTAACCATGTGCATAGAAGAACAGTTGGAACACTTTAACATGTCATATATTTTATGAATTATCTACATTTTTCTATTCTTTAATCATTATGATACATATATATCGCTGAGGTATTTGGCTATGCTCGTTGACATAGATAATCATGGGTGTATGAGTTGGGGATTAGTTGTGTTAGCCAATTTATATAGAGAGTTGTGTTTGTCGCTAATTATAAACACAAGGAAATAGGTGGTCCACCAATTTACTATTGAAGTGTCAGGAATCTCGTAGACTTTTGCCTCATCAGCTAGATAAAGTAATAGTTTAAAACTCACTAACAAAATAAACAAATGAGATATCATCTAGTTGGTTATTTATAGGAGACAACATTTTTAAAGTTTTTTCATAGTAGTCTTTACAACTTTACAAAATTTCAAAATTTTCTTCATAATTTTTATTAAAACTTGTTTTAGTGAAATGAGTTTCATTTGTTTACCTTATTTTAACAATCGTCAATTTTGTGACGATGGAGGGTTATCATTTGCAAGACAAACAAATACCATTTACATTAGTTGTGGAATTAATTATCCATTTTTGAAAAGAAAAATTTGCAACAAACTTAAATTACATGAACATCAAATTATTTCTTCCATCACTTATAAGTGTTTTTTTAGTCCACCTAAGTACAAAGGTCATCACATTACATATGCTAAAGATATCAAGGTCATGTTTGACACTTTTCAAAGGCAATTTAATAGCACAATGATTGAGTTATATATCAAACTTAATATTGTCGGTCCTTTTTCTTCTTTGGCTAGTGTTACTACAAATGAGACTAACTCGCAGGTTTACACTGTAACTCGCAGGTTTATACTAAATTATTTTAAACTAATAACCACCTTAAAAATTATTCTTATATGGTTACTCAATAAAGTATAAATTATGACCAAATTTTTTTCTTTATAACAAGTATTTGTATTTTAGATTTACAAGTAGATGTAACACCCAATTTTTTTATTAAAAAAAAGATGGCATTTTCATAATTATTGATGACATTTTTGTAATTTTAATAAAGGCATAAGAGTATTTCTGGGTGTCGGAACGGGCCGTTCCAAATGCAGAACGGACCGTTCCAAAAGAGGGAATATGCTTGGTTTTAAAGACCCAGAACGGGCCTGGAAGAGACTGTTCTGGAAAGGAGAACGAGCCGTTCTGAAAGCAGAACGGGCCGTTCTGCTGGGTTTTGGTGTGAGTATGGTCATTGGAACCGACTCAATTGAGAATTTCTAATAGTTTACATTACCTTAATTCGTCAGTAGGAATTTCTCAAGAAGAAACTAAATGTTTTTCTTTGACCTCAGAATATCATATAGTTATTAACAAGTAATTTATTATATTTTAATTTCGGACACCTAATGCCTTAGGGTACTAGTTGAATGAATATTGGATATGATCAAATGCTTGTAGAATTAATGATAAATCAAAAAGGAATCCATCAACTCTTGATAATGAGTTTGAGCTCTATTAATGAAATTAATAATATCTAGGCCAGAAAAACTGATTGAAAAGTCAATCGTGATAGGTTAACTTAATGGAGTTTGACGATAATATCATACTCTAGAGTTAATTAAGAGTTGTAATGATTGAAGAAAAATATTATATGTTTTTCTAAGTTCTTGAAAGTAAAATATTACTTCATACAATCTAGACGTTAAAAAGTATTGCTAGATACCTACTTTGATTAATTTATTATCAGCATAGTATTGAACATCAAGATCAAACACAAATGAGTGTTCTAATATCTGTTAAAGAAATTATTTTAATATTTGATGATTAAATAAGAGTATTTAATTTGATGAAATTAAATAATAAAGAAGATTTGTTTCGTAAAGTAGAGTATAAGACATTTATCATGAAGAGAGAAAAGGTTTTGCTTCTTGTATTTCACGCTGCCTTGCGTTACTGTGGCAAACCCCTTAAGTAAATGAAGGTGGTGAGAATTCCAATTGCCATCACTGCTGCACAAAACAATTAATGATGCAAGCAACCAACTCCCTCCAACCTGCTTACCATTTACTGCTGGTAAGAAAAACATATGCACATCATAAATGTATCAATTCTTCACCCTGCTAGTACTAGCTTATTCATCTGCACAAAAAATGTAGTATACTATTTTAATGTCAAAATATATTTTGTATACGTGTTCTGATTTAATCTTATAAATATAACAATTTAAATGTATTAAATTATCATAATTTACATGTTTTAAAGTTAGAGAATTTAAATCCATATATATTATTGAAATTAATTTGGATTACTCAACTAGTACATGTAAAGATATAATTCTGAAAAATTATAAGCAGTAGAATCAAAATTTGAGCGAATAAGAAGTAAGAAATGGCTGAGTCATTGTTATTCATTTAATATTGGAATCATAACAGAAACAGTGATTCTTAATCCAGGGCTAATATTGGGTATCGATGGATGCAATCTGCCCATGGTCCCTTCTCGTGCTCTCCAACTATAGGCCTAATACACTGCAAAATAATACTGTCACATTTGAGTCCTGTTCCCATTCCAAGTTGCCAAATCTTGTCTCCCTTGTGCACTTTTTCCTTGGTTTCCAAGTAAGCTAGTTCATACCACAATGAGGAAGAAGACTGGTTTCCAAACCTGTGCAGTGTCATCAAAGCAGGTTCAATGTCTCTCTCCGAAAGCCCCAACCCTTTCCCCAATTCTATTATCAATGGCCTTCCCGAACAAGGGAAGCAGAAGTGTTGTATCACTACCTTAAAATTTGGCACGTAAATTCCCTCAGACTTGTTGAACCTCTTCTTGATCATAGACACCGCATACCGAAACTTCTCCGAAAGAGGCAAGATTTGAGACCCCAAAATGGAGACGTTTGAACGGATAGTTTCACGAACTTCTTGAACTGATTCCCTGTTTATTGTCACCCCAAGCCTTAGGGTACTAGTTGAATGAATATTGGATATGATCAAATGCTTGTAGAATTAATGATAAATCAAAAAGGAATCCATCAACTCTTGATAATGAGTTTGAGCTCTATTAATGAAATTAATAATATCTAGGCCAGAAAAAATTGTATATTAATGTTGAGATAGAAGGGTGTCACAGTAGATATGATAAAAACATGATTAATATATTGTAGCCAACACTCCTATATGTGACATTGTCATACATCAATCAGACAAACACATCACTTCAAAGCATAGTTTTAAAAAAAAAACAAAACTTGACCACTAACTAACTAAAACTATATATACAAGCAAAAGGTTTCTTACCTTCCCTTTGTAATACAATTAAAAGAGAAAAGGTCCTGATTATAATAGTTAGTATACGTCATAATATATGTATGTACTCACTCATTATCTCACCTATTATGATCCCTTAGATGTAGTGACGGATCCAGAAATTTTATATAGTGGAGACAATATTTATTTATATATCTGTAATATTAAATTTTTTACATATATAACTTTTAAAAGCATAAATATATTATCATAATTATTTTTTACAATTTTTTATATTTACGATTACAAGTAAATATGAAAATAAATTAGGTTAGACTAAATTTTATTATAACTTAATAGGTTTGAACCTAATGTTTTTAAAAAATATATATCTTAAGTATGACTTATTTATCTATCATAGATATTTTTTAAATTTTTTGTTAGAACTACAATTCTAAAGACCTACTTTATAATAATTCATCATTATTAAAAATATAAAATAAATATGTTAAATTTTATAAAAATCAAGTTTAATTTATTTATGATGTAAACATGTTTTTAATATCTGATACGTATTTTTAGATGATAATTTATTTTATATTTTATAATAACAATTCTAAATAGAATGAACATAAATCTTTTAATTTTTTTATTTTAATTTTTTTAATCAATATATACAATAAATAAAAAACACAAAAGGTAAACATGCATACTGTAAATTTTATTTTATTAAAAATTGATTTTTTTTAATATATTACATTATATATGTGAGTATTAATATATATATATATATATTATAATTAAATCTTTTAAGAAAATTAATTCGTTATTAAGGAGTATTTTTTATCACATAAGAGAATTAATTTTCTTCAAAAATTTGACAGACATCAAATAAATAAATCTCTTCTACAAATCTATATTTTATTCATATAATAATTTAAATATATATTTATTTTATTAAAATATTATTTTTATTTTTTAAAATATTATTTTTTTAAATAAAAAAATGTATGTCTGAAATAGTAATGGGGGCAAGTGCCCCCACTACTTTCAACCTGGATCCGCCCTTGCTTAGATGGATCACTCTCTGTGACTTTGTCTTCAGCCTCTAGGCCATCATCTTTCTGTAATGTCTTAAATTTCATATACAATATTTTTAATTTTATTATTATTATATTATTCTTAAAATAGTAGTCTAAATATATATATATATATATATATAACAGTGAATAAGTACAATATTTTGTATAATTACAATACATTAAATTTTTATTATAAAATTTCCAGTAAAATAAAATAGAATTATATAATATTTAATTTTATAATTATTATGATCTGATTAATAAAATAGAATCATATAATATTTATTCACAATTTTATTATTATTATCTTATTTTTTTTAAGATTCTTAGATTTTAATTATTATATAAATAGATAAATACTAGTGTTTTATTTTATAAAATTTTATATTTTCAAAACTAAATATATGTATATATACATGTATGATTATATTATAATATTTTATAATTACATAACAACTTATTATAATGTATATAACAACATATACATATAAAATAGAATGGTTTAGTGGCTTGTTCTATAATGCATATAGATCATAAGATACAAAGATAATTTGTTAAGTAAATAGTTAAGTGTGTGCAAATAGATTACGTAGATAAGTGTGTGCAAATAGATTACGTGGTGCAGTAAATGATAAGTGTGTATAGTAGATAAATAAGTGAATATTGTGGGGTAGATAAATAAGTGACTATTGTAGATAAATAAGTGTAACTTCATTAGATTACGCGGTGCAGAAGTGAATATTGTAGATAAATAAGTGTACGTGTTGGAGTAGATTGTGATGGATATTACGTGGTGGAATAATTATCGAACAATAGATTATGCATGATATTACATAGGCATGAATATTACGTGGTATAGATTACATGACACCCTCTATAAATAGCACATGACACCCTCTATAAATAGCACAATCACATGCAAAACGAATGGAAAATAAAAAAAAATTAGACGAGAGCGCAAAGCAAAATGTAAAAAGAGAAAGACTGAAAGTGATAACATAACAATTTTACTTCTCTTAAGGTAAGGGGGAGGAGAACTTTATCTTTTTAAAATTTTATATGCTACTATATTTATTTAATTATGTTATATTTTATGTGTATTTATTTAATGAGGTGTCCATAACCTCATTTATTTGCTTAATCTATGATACTTTTTACTCATAATAATTAATAATATGTTCATAGTTTATGTTGTTTAATTATTTTATAATGATTATCATTGTCATTTACTTGATTGATACTCTTTAATATATTCTATTTACGTAAACAATATTTTATTAAAGCTTAAATAATGATAAATACTCAAATTTATTTACCGTAATTATTTTTATGATTAACTATAATATAGTTTTGTTAAAATATCTTTAACTTGTCTTGTTGTTATTTTTTCATGCATTTATAAAAATAAAAAAATCATCTTATGGCCATAAGAATTAAAGTTTGAATTTGTAGTTGGAGGTTTACCTTGGGGATTTAAATGAGTAAGGATTTAAGGTGAAAAATCCATTTGTTGGTTGATATTATGATAATGCTCATTTATCCTGACTAGTCACTACAAGTATAATTCAATTTTTTTTATATATCAAGAAAAATTAATATATAATTATTAGTATTAAATATTTCTTTGCATATTATGTCATTACTGATATTTATTGGATAATTTTTCTCACTCCTTATGTTTCTTGTGTAATATATGTAATTAATTGATACAAAAATAAATAAATATAAATGGACGTTCCAGCAATTATAGCTCCTTTCCTTTCAGTAATCTCTGTAGTTTTCTCTGACACAACATGGAGTGTTGACGCTCTAGCCAACTTAGTTACTTTAAATGGAGCAGCTGTGTCTTCATTCACCTTTTCTCCAAACCAAGAAATTCCAACTGTGATAGATGGACCCATAGTTGTTACTTTTTATTTACCTCCTGCAAATCATGTGAATCCTATTGTAAATTTATTTCAACCACCTATGTAAATTTTATAGTAGAAAAGAAAATATGATATGTAAATATGTATGTATTGTAAATATTTTTAGAATAATATGGAATGTAAAAATTAAAATATTTTAGAATAATATGGAATGTAAAAATTAAAATATTTTAGAATAATATGGAATGTAAAAATTAAAATCGTATGTGAAATATAAGAAGTTATAATTAAGTATCAGTCTAATCTATAAATATTGTAATATATATGTAAAAAGTAAGTAGCTACATACATAGTGGTAAATATTTTTAGTTTGTTATTATGTATAATATTATTAATAATATACATGTGTTTTCAATATATAAATATTATATATATATATATGTATATATGTATAATATTGGGATTAATAGGTAATACGACTAGGCGTTACACTTTCAATACTCCATTTGACTCAAAAGGTCCAATCCAAGTACCCATCCAAAAGAAGAAAGCCAAACTGGGTACTATGCAAACATAGTGGTAAAAGGAAAATAAGGAAATACATAAGTAGGAGGTGATGACTACTGATCCACGAATGGTAACAATACATTAGCCATATCATTAGAAGAGGGTGAAGGGAGGTGGAGGTATCCACACATAGCTAGGAGTAGGAGGAGAAGTCAATATCACATGCAAATCTATAGAGGAAGGTGGAACCATACTAGTAAGGTCCACATGCATAAAAGAAACAATAACTACTCCCATGAAAGTATCTAACCCATAGACAACATCATGGGTCCCTAATCCCTCGCTATTGTAATTTAGGGAGACTCTCAGCATAATCGAAAAACCAGAGAGAGCCATTGACCACTACTCACACAAAGTCGTACCATATAAAATAAATAAATAAATAAAGGGGTTAGACATTTATGCTTCTTATAATTTAAAATCACAAAATGTAGTGTCAGTCTTAATAAAGTAGTCTTTCACAATTGTTGTATGAATTATGTTATGCAATGGGAACCTATGGTCTTTTCTAAATTAATAGATTCATGCATCCAGGGTCCATTACTAATTTCTTTTATATATATATATATATATATAGGGAGGATAATTGGAACGGTATTTCCTTTTCATATAAGTAAAAAGTCTTATGCTTAATAAGCTACTCAAAAGGAAAAATGTTCTACCAATTATAGCATAATTTATGCTTTACCAAATCAATCCATTTCCTAATAATCTATATCCAAATTTTATATAATAATAACAATAATATAGTTTTTTGTAATGTACATGATGCATGTCTCTAGTCTAAGTATCTTTTACTTATTTAAGGTTTTACAAATCACTTAAATTCTAGCAGTTTCCTTTATTTTTTCATAACTTTTCCACGTGCCTTTTCATAGTTATGCCAACAAATCACAAATACCAAATACGTAATTTATATCACAACATATTCCTCATAATATATATAACTCACTTGTTAATATATATATATATATATATATATATATATAGGGAGGATAATTGGAAGTTTTTCATACCTTGCCACGGTATTTCCTTTTCATATAAGTAAAAAGTCTTATGCTTAATAAGCTACTCAAAAGGAAAAATGTTCTACCAATTATAGCATAATTTATGCTTTACCAAATCAATCCATTTCCTAATAATCTATATCCAAATTTTATATAATAATAACAATAATATAGTTTTTTGTAATGTACATGATGCATGTCTCTAGTCTAAGTATCTTTTACTTATTTAAGGTTTTACAAATCACTTAAATTCTAGCAGTTTCCTTTATTTTTTCATAACTTTTCCACGTGCCTTTTCATAGTTATGCCAACAAATCACAAATACCAAATACGTAATTTATATCACAACATATTCCTCATAATATATATAACTCACTTGTTAATTAATTGAATTACCATGAGTTGTTAGTTTTCCAAATCAAAAGAAATTTATCAAAGATTATCACTAATCATTTATATAATCATAAGACAAGGTGTTATAATGTAAATTATTCCTAAAACATCCTTTAAAACTTATTTTGGCTAATAAATGTCACAAAACAACAATTGAAATTTTATGCAACAAAATTATAACAAAGTTTTATTGTATGAAATGTTTTTATTTCTTCCTTTTTTTTATAATATCTTATTTTAAAGATCAATTTATCTTTTTTTTTTCTCCAAATATATTTTGTACTTGAAAGACAAATAATACCTACACTAGAAATGTAATTAAAAAACTTTCTTGGAACTTGGGAGTGTTTGGATATCTTCAAGCAATAACTAAAATTTGGTGACAAGATATGACCAACAACATAGTTTTCGAACCAAAAACAAAGATAAGCAACAAAAAAAATCGAGAATGGCAGAGGTGGAGAAAATTGATTATGAATTAATGAAGGTGATGAAAAAAATAATAATCCACATTTCACATATATTGATTCTTTGGCTAGGGATATGGTTTGACATAGTATAGGCTTATGGTACAATTGCTTCATAATGCACTTCTTCTGATCTATTTTAGGTCATTCGAATGTTTGTTTAACTGCCAAAACAACAGAACCAAATAGCATAAAACTATACGCAACAAATACCTTGTGTCCCTGCTTTCGATTGAACTAACCCAAGACAAAATCCATCATCTGTGAAACACTACACGGTTCCAACTTTGCAAGTTTACATCATCAACCATTGCAATAACAACACCAATGCACACAAATCTATTTCAATGCAGAAAAATCAATTATAATTAAAGCATACATATACCATATACACAACTAACTAACAATAGCCCCATGAGCTAATCATTCCAAGGGAAACATATGTTTCAAAGGAAAAATCAATTATTACAAAAAAATAATTTAAAATATTTTCATCCTTAATATTTCTTATTAAACTTATATATATATATATATATATATATATATCTAAAATATAATATAAATTATAAAAAACGAAAATATATTTGAGAAAAATGTAATTTTTTAAAGAAACATTTATTAAAATTCAAGAGATGCAAAACATTTGTAAATACAATAATGGTTGAATATATAAATTTATAAATTTCATAGTTAATATTCGTGGAGTAGAATAAAAATTATTATACAAATTAAATTTAATACCATTAATTAAACTAATGATTTATTAATCAATTATGATTATATTGTCCAAAGCAAATGCATGTATCACATTTTGTTTTCTCCATCAAACATCATTTTTGTTATTATTTTTTAATTTATAATATTTTTGGTGTGACTACTGAAAAAAGAAAATGGGCCATGTGCTAGCATTTATGGGCCTTAGACATGTTGCATGACTCGTAACCCAATTGCGAATTCGGGTTAGGGTTTCAAAAGCAAATAAAAAGAGACCTAACTTCTCACTCTTACTCTGTCCGTCACTCACTGCCTTCGTTTGCCATTCTCGCTCTCGTAAGTAACCTTTTCAGATCCACGATCTCTTCGTTTTTAGTTTCTAATTTGTATTCCCAAAACACATGACAATTGTAGCACTTTTTAATTTTTATTTTTCGCTTTCTCAGTCGTTGAATTCTCTTCACGAATTTATAAAATTTGAGGGGTTTCATTTCTTTTTTAGTTAACTTCACTGTTTTAAGCATTCTATTAATGGGTTTCGATCAAAGATTGAATTTTGTCATTTCTGCTATTGTAATCTATGTTATGCATGTTTTGCAGAAGAATTAGCATATAACATATACATATAGCAAGCATGGCAGTCACATTCTACGACCCTAGCTCTGCCTCTGGGTTGAAGAAGCTCGATGAGTACCTTCTCCCACGCAGTTATATCACTGGGTATGTTGTTTGTTGCTTTTATGCTTCTGATTTTGTCTCTTTTGAAATTTTTGTTTCTTATGTGTTGTTGATTTGCATTTGCTTTTTTAGGTACCAAGCTTCAAAGGATGATCTTACCGTGTACGCTGCTTTGCCAAATGCCCCATCGGATGAGTATGTGAATGTATCCAGGTGGTACAAACACATTGATGCTTTGTTGAGAATCTCGTAAGTTTGCTTCCTTGGACTTCTATTTCAATTGTATGAAATATATGTAATTTAATGAATGATTAAACATGATGGTGTGATGGTCCATGTTGGTGTTTTATGCAATGATTTATCTGTGTGATTGTGGCAGTGTTTATTCTGTGCCTGGGGTAGAATGATGATTTGGTAATTTGAGTGATTTCAATTTGTTGTTTATTGTTATATATATTATACCATTTTTGTGTATACAGTGGTGTTTCTGGCGAGGGATCTGGTGTTACCATCGAGGGATCTCTTGTTGCGGAGCCTGTTGCAACTCCTCCTGCTGCTGACACGAAGGCAAGTGTTTTCCTAATGATGGATATTTGAACTGCGGTTGGTTTCATGTTTTCCTTTTATATTATGTGCATAAATTCTAATGGTGGTTGACCTTTGACTGAATGTAACTTGTTTTTCAGGCTGCTGCAGCTGAGGATGACGATGATGACGATGTGGATTTGTTTGGTGAAGAGACAGAGGAAGAGAAGAAGGCAGCTGAGGAACGGGCAGCTGCAGTGAAGGCATCTGGAAAGAAGAAAGAGACGAATGAATTGAATGTTAGAGAAATATGAAACAGAAAGGAGAAGGACAGGGAGAGGAGTAAAAGAGTGTAAGCTTCTCTTTTGTCATTTAATCATTATCTTTGAACTTTATCCTGTACCCCCTCGGTTTATACCACTTTGCGAGGGCATTGATTTTTTTCTGATTCCATTCTCAGCTGGGAAATCATCTGTTTTGTTGGATGTGAAACCATGGGATGATGAAACCGACATGAAGAAGCTTGAAGAAGCAGTGAGATCTGTTGAGATGGAAGGGCTGCTTTGGGGTGCATGTATGTTATGTACATTTTATCTTTTTTGGCTTTGGTTATTGATATTCTGATCTACTTAATCAAATGGTTGACTAAGATTTAATTCACTCTATTTGCTTACTTTTATTTCTGCTTATCATGGATGTTCCATTTCTGCAATTTTGACATTGGTTTATTTATGTCTCAGCCAAACTTGTTCCTGTTGGGTACGGAATCAAGAAATTGCAAATTATGCTTACCATTGTGGATGACCTGGTTTCTGTCGACACTCTTATTGAGGAACGTCTCACAGTTGAGCCCATTAATGAATATGTCCAGAGTTGTGACATTGTGGCCTTCAATAAAATTTGTAAGTATTTTTAGATGGCTTAGTTTTATCCATATTAATTCCTTAGGTTGGTTTTGTATTTGGTAAGAAAATTCACATCTGTTATATCGGTCTGCAACTTGTTATAATGCTATTTCATAACTTGTTACAGAATCTACCATCGTGGGCTTTTGGAGATCATGGCAACGGGAGGCTTTGCAAGATTTTGAAATTATGTTCCAGTGAAACTATCCTGAATTGGGAATTTTTGTTTTTAGAAACATGCTTGTTTTTATGTCTGTCTTTGTGATATCGGATTATTTGGATAGTAATCATTTAGGCTTTAAGCCTTTAATGTGTGGTGTGTTCTTTTTTATTCAAATTCTAGTTGCAAATGATCGTGGTTGTTACTTTGATTTAACAAAGTATTCTCGAGAACTCACGATACACACCGCAACTGTGGCTAAATTGAAGGAATATATCATAATGAATATACACCAGGTTTTAAATTTTGTAATTCCATACAAGCTACTTTAAAGTTTAACCTCGCACTATAACATACTCCTAATAGCATCTTGTCATTTAAAGGTATATTATTGAACAAATTAGATCCTATAAGTAATATTGTTTCCTTTATTAGGTAATTTGACCCTGCCCCAAGAACATGCCATCTGCTCAGAAAAACGAGTGGTTGACTTGGTTAAGTATACAGTGGAGAGGGGAAGATAGTTGAAAAGAAAATAATGAGAAATTATGTTTGGTGAAATGGAAAGAAAAGTGAGGAAATATAATGAATGAAGATGTGAAAAATAAAGAGATATTATGAGTGTTTGTTTTAAGACAAATAGGAACGAAATAAGAAAGAGACAAATAAAATAGGAGGAAATAAATTGTAAATTTGTTTTTAATCAATAGCTTTTTATTTAATCAATTAAATCGTGTTAAACAAATGAGGGGTTTCAGAAAATTGCATTTAATTTATTAAATGCATTGTATCCAATTAAATGTCACACTATTCTCATTTCTCATTGTTTAGGGACATTGTAATCCATGGACTACCATTTTTTATTTTTCTCTTCTCTCATTTACTCTTTATCAAACACTTATTTTTTTATTATTTTTATTTCTCATGTATTTTCCATGTTCCAAGAGAAACCTAAATTCGGGAAAGAAAGGTTAATATATGAGAAGCCTCCTTCGGAAAATCATGATTTACTAACATTGAGTGTCTTCCTACGCATGGTTTAGCCCTCTTAATACATAGCAAGCACTTGCAGATAAGTTGTTGACATATTTTATGCTATGCGCCTCTGCCTCCAAGCAAAATGGGATATTTGCTCTGTTAAGGAAGAAAAAGAATCGTTGAATGTGCCTTTGTACTTTGGTTAATGATGCCTATTGACTTTGTAAAAAGATATTACTATATGCCTATTGATGAACACACATGAATAAAAACAAATAAACGCATCACAGCATCAACAACTCGGGTCGAAGGTTTTGCCTGGAATATTAAGATTCACTCTTGCAGGTTTCTTTCCACAGAATTATTATGAGGTATCAATGCCCATGTATTCTATGCATTTTTTTTAATTAAAGCTTACTTAACAATAAATTTGCAAGAACATAGTATTTACAATTAATTAAAAAATTATTCAGACGGTATTAAATTAATATATTTTGAACTCTTAAAGTGACGAAGTCATTGAAAGGTTGAAATAATATGTACATGTTTAAAGTTTGAACTCCGAACTTCGATATTATCATTGCAATTTTGATAATGATTTTTTTTCTCTCTCTATTTATGTTAATATATTTATTTAATTTTTTTTAATAACTTATGAAAAATTAATGCACTTTGATTTATATATTCAAATATATTGGTATAATATTTTTTTTAAACCAATGTATTTAATATTTATAGATTAAAATAATGAATAAGATTATTTTTAAAATTAAGAATAAAATTTATACTTTTAAGATTTGTGACTTATTTGTTTCGATATAATTTTAGAAAAATAATCACATTTTTCAAATTTTTTTCTTAAAAATTGATAACTATATTTCTGCAAAATAAATAAATCCCCTTAACTAAATTTTGTGCGAAGGAATTTGAGGTTCTTTGTAATAATATAGCAAAGATAATACTAAAGGTCATTTTTACATGAGATTGATAAGAATTAATTTACCTCATATAATTAAATATACATAATTAAGATTTAATATAATGTCGGTGTCAAAAAAATTAATATAATGACAGTGTATAAAAATTTTTCATTTTAAAAATTGTAAAAAAAAAGTATTCTAATATTGATATTTATCATAAGATGTAATAATAGATGTATATTATTTTTTCTTCCCCTCACAAATGACATTGCGTGTAACATGTGCGTTATTACACAAATAAAATAAAATAATTCAAACGACAACGTTATTTTTGAAAACCAGAGAGAAATTTTTGGGTATAAAAGATGAAAAACGTGAGCGAAAAAAAGTGAGCATGCTAGAGAGCAGTGATTCCGATTCATTCATTCGTTCAATTTCGAAGACTCCGCATCCGACAGCATCAGTAAGAATCTCTTCTTCCTCTGTCTTTTTCTTCTGCAAAAAGCTATAAATTATCATTCCCAAAGTTTGATGAACCCGAATTCAATTTTGGCCAGTTTCGGTTCCAATTCGCGCATCTTCGTTTCATGCATTCTATTTTCGTAGTTAGGGTTTTCGTTTTTTAAATTTTCTAAATGTTATTCTCACTAAAAATCGTTCCTTTCAGAGCTCAGGGTCCCCAGAGAGTCTCGTTTTTATCTCGTGATAAATGCTGTTCCGATTATATATACTTTTTTTAATTCTATAAAATTTAATTTCAGTCTCACAGAATTTGGGTGTGGTTAAGATTCTGGTTTAGGTCTTAGTAGCGGCAAAAAGAATGAATAATCAAGCAAAGAATGTTGGTGCATCATCGTTGTTTGGTCATTCTGGAATGACCCCACAACCACATCACCCTAATCCCATTCAGCAGTGGAACCACCCAACCCCTTTGTTCTCTCAATCACAGTCAAAGTCACAGTCACACCCTCACACCCAAATCCCTGGTCTGTTTCAGTTTTCAGAGCCCCAATCCCATGTGCTAGCACAAGCACAAGCCCAGTATGCACAGGCACAATTGCAGTCTCATGCTGCACGGGCTCATCCTCAACCTCAAACTCAGCCTTTTGCTCACTTGCATAATGTAAATACTAATACTGCTAATGGTACATCAACACCGCCGACTGGAAGTGCTAGGCGAGCAACCCTGAAACCCTCGACTAGGCCTCATAATTCGTCGAGTATGAACCAGTCCACGCTGTTTAGGACCATGGAATTAACCCCGGCTACTCGGCAAAAGAAGCAAACACCAGAAAAGGTGGCGGCAGTTTTGCCTGAGTCTGCTTTTTATACTCGATTGCTTGATTTTGAGGCTCAGGTAGATGCTGCTTTGGCCAGGAAAAAGGTTGATTTACAGGAGGCTAGGCTCCCGCACCATGTTCTGAGAACTCTTCGTGTTTATGTGTTTAACACCTTCTCAAATGTTGCAAAAATTGCTTCTGAGAATAAAGCTGATGAATCTTCATGGTCTCTCAAGTTAACTGGAAGGATATTGGAAGATGGTATGGATTCCTTGTCTGGAATTTCACAAAGATCAAGTCCTTCATACCCGAAGTTCTCTGCATTTTTCAAGAAAATTACCATACGCTTGGATCAAAGCCTTTATCCTGATAATCATGTCATTGTATGGGACAGTGCTCGTTCAGCTGCCCAGCAGGATGGTTTTGAGGTGAAGAGGAAAGGAAACAAAGAATTCACTGCAGTGATTGTAGTAGAAATGAATTATACACCCGAGAAGTTTATGGTTTCACCACAACTGTCTAAACTTTTAGGGATCGAGGTTGAGACCCGCCCAAGAATAATAGCTTCTCTTTTTAACTACATGAAGTCCAGGAAGCTACAGAGCCCTAATGACCCTTCATTATTCATATGTGATCCTTCTCTTCAAAGGGTGTTTGGGGAAGAGAAGATGGATTTCACCAAGATTTCTCACAAGTTATCACAACATTTGTCACAACCACAGCCTATACATTTGGAGCATAGCATCAAGCTTTCTGGACACTCTCCAGCTGTATCTGCATGTTACGATATACTAGTTGATGTGCCTTTTCCGATGGAAAAGGATAAGTCTACATTCTTGGCAAGCCTTGAGAGTCAAAAAGAGATTGAAGCTTATGATGAGGCAATTTGCACTTCCTTAAAGAATATCCAGGAGCATCATAGAAGACGAGCTTTCTTTCTCAGCTTTAGTCAGTCTCCAGCAGAGTTTATTAATACTTTGATTGCTTCTCAGAGCAAAGATCAAAAACTTGTTGCGGGAGATGCCAGCTATAATGTTGAAAAGGAACTGTGCACTGAATTCTACAATAAACCATGGTAAGCATTATGATGATGCTTAACCTTTTTGTTATGAGGCGCATGCATGCATAATACTCTTGTTTGGTACGGTTTATTACCTGAGTGAGTATTCACTTGCTAATGTTGGGAGTTGAGTATATTGGCAATCATACTCAAAAAAAAAAAAAAAAGAAGCCGCATCTATATCAGACACTTATGTTAGATATAACATGACACTTCATAAAAAACCTAGTCATTTCAGACTGTGATGTGTCATGTTCATTCTTAGGTGGCAACTGATAGGAAATTATAACACAATACTGTATGGCTTCACTCTGAAAATGGTCATAGATGATTTATCATACAGAGAAAATAGAAGTTATGACATGGATGCCTGTAGGCTGTATCCCCCCATCCACCCTCCCCAATATCTTTAATTGATATATGTATCAAATAGGGCCACCTATATTCTATAATATTTTTGGTTAAAGTATTCTTTAATTTGTTTGTGTTCTTTTTTTAATTATATTTTCAGGGTTGAGGACGCAGTTATTCGTTACTTAAACCGCAAAACTGCTGGAAGTGATGCTCCTGGACGCCACTAAGAAAACATTGTAGAGGTGGAGTTTCTGCTTTTATGTTCTAACAACTCTATATATACTTTCTTTTCATATTCTTTGTTAGGGAATATAGTTCGAGCATCGAAGATGAGGAGTAGAAGAAAGGAAAGAATGTAGGAAAAATGTCGATGCTTTTTAGATAGTGAAAATCAATGTGAGTGTGATCAGAAATTCTGTACAGAATTTCAGAATATATATAATATATAGATCCATGTATTTTGGTTGCCCCTGGCTCATTTCCAGTCCCTAAAGTGATGTTCTAACTTTTAAGACTCACTATTGGTGTCTGCGAAGGTTGGATTAACATTTTAAAATATACATATAGAAAACTAGCCTAAGATTTGATTGTGGAACAAATGACTAATAAGAAATGTTTATCAAATGAAAGATAATTTAATTAAAATGACGAACTCTGAAGAAAATATTTAAAAATAATTAGTTTACTTTATTTGGAGTTATTATTATTATTTTTTTAGTTTATGGTTGAGTTTAGTGATGACGTTTGATCAATATAATCAATCCCATTAGGTGAAATAAAAGCTTGGCTGTAGATATTGTCATCTTAATTTTCTTAATAAAATTAGAGGTATTTGTGGATTGGTTTGAATTAATTTTGAATAAATAAATAATTTGATCCAAAGATTAAAACGATTTGCGTTTGAATTTGGTTTGAATTGTTTTCTTAATAAAAAAAAGTTAATAAAATGTGACTTGGATTAGCTTGAAAGATTATTTTTTTATGGACACATCGTTACATAATTATATTATGTTTAAGAAATATATTATAATTCAATATATTTGTATTACCTAAAGCACAATTGTGTCATGATGTATAGAGAATTTAGGTTTTAACACTTAATTTACCTTATCATTTCATTGTTGATGCCTTAAACAATTTCCTTTTTTAAGTGTTTTTTCATTCATCACTCCTTTTAAGATGAGAACAAAAGTTTTAAAAGCCTTCTTATTTTTACAAACATTGTTTATAATCATGAATTTGAGGTCCTTTGCCTCTAAAGAGGTTAGGACAAGGCTCTTATACGAAAGTTTCCCTTTTCATTTATTGAATTGTTTCTTTGAGTAAAATTGATTTATTGTCAAAAGTCACGATTAATTAAAGTATTTTTTTTATCAATGTTTTTTTTAAAATTGATCATTAAATTTGTTTAAACACTAATTCCAGATTTAATGATTCATTTGTAGTTAAACTGATATTAATAAAATAATAATAATAATGATTATTAACATTAAATAACATTAAATAAATATATCATAATTTATAACACTAAAAATTAAAACATAATTTTATAAGTTTTTAACATTTAATGTATATGTAAAAGTCTAAATTAAATATAATATCGTATTTAATTTTAAATTTTAATAAAATATAACAATGTTTATTAAAAATGACAAGTTTATATATAGAATAAAAAAATTATCAATTTTTTTAGAGGAAAAAATTATCAAATTAATATAATATAAATTATAAAAAATCAAAATATTATAAAATGAAAATTAACATAAAGGATTAAATTATATTTCTATAAGAAAAATATTAAAAATAATTAAAATTAAATTTTAAAAAAATATTTTTTAAAAATAGAATTGATTCAAATTGATTTTTCAATACAGCTTTTACTAGTTTTGGAAGTTTGATCGATTTTTGACCGTTCTCACCAGTTCTAAAACAATCTAATTTTTATTAACTTTCAAATCAATTACCAGATCAGTTCACAGTCCTACTGATCAAATCAACTAATCCAATTTGATTTTCAAAATAGTACTTTTTATGATGACATCTATTCTTATAATTAATTATTTACTCTTTTTGGTTGAAATGATTTTTGTTGAATTTATTTTATCTATCAAAATTATAAAAATGACATCATGATTTAAATTTAAGACCAAAATTAACATGTTAAATTCACCTCTGAAAAAAAAAACTTGCTTAATTCAAATTTCTTTCAAAACGATAATTTTAACTTATTAAAATATATTTTTAAAAATAAGTGTTTGTTAAAAAACACATTTGCATGTGCTAAATCATTTGAGACAACGAAGACAAATAGTAAAATAGTTGGACATTTTTGTTTTAGAATTAAATTGACATATATTAACGGTGTAAAAAAAATCTATTGGCATTCTATAATGAATTATAATAAAATTTAAAATTATATGTAAGGTGATTTCTTATAATTTGTCATTGTAACAATCTTTGTATAAACCGTATATCAAAATTAAACACTTATTATCAATGCTCAAACAAAATACATTGTAAATATAGCGAGTAAATCCCATTGCACTTTCTAATAATAGTATTTTCTTTTTGGACCAACTTTAAACTCAAAATCTGTCTGTCACTTTTGGCAAAAAAAAGGAGTCTATTATGAGAAAATGTTTATTTTGGATTTAGTTCATCAACTCAAATATTAGAGAAAAAAAAAAAGCTAAACCTTCCATTTCCATAAACTAACTAAGTTATTCAGTAAAAAAAAAAAACTAAACTAAGTTATGGATAACAATAACAATATCATTCATTTGCAGAAGTCAAGAGGAAGAGGACAAAAGTAATACATCCTCGAATCAGCTTAATGAATAATGAATATCCGATTCATTAAGATTTGTTGAGTAAAGAATGAATAAGAAAAGGAAAAGTCGTTCACAAATAAAATCAATCATTACTCTACTAGTAGTACAGTATAGTAGTATGAAAGATCAAAGAAATGATAGTAACGTCTCCTTCTAAACTCAAATATAAAAAAAAAAAAACAAAAATTCACGAATACTAGATTTAAAATATATAAATTTTAACTAATTTAATTTTATTTAATATTACTATCTCCATAATACTTTTCATTTAATCGAGATTCAATTCAAGTTTTAATAAAAAGTAATATAGGAAAAATCTATTTTCATTAAGATTAACAAAATTAAATAATATAAGTAACTTTAATAAACGCTTAAGTTAATTAATTTTGTTCATGATTGAATTTAGAAGAATTACTCTCTACCATAATTTTTAAATATAATTTATATATTTAAATATAATATTTATTTTTATATATAATTTATTATAAATTTTGATTATATAATGAACTTTTATTTACATTGTGTTAAAACACTACTCTCTCTATTCTTTATTATTATAAGATTTTTTTTTCTCAAATACAAACAAATTTCAAGATATTTTTTCTAAAATATTTTTTTCTTTAATGTACTTCTTTCAACATTTATAATAAGAATAATTTTAAAAAAATGTTATGAAACTAATAAAATTTAATACAAATAATTAAATTTTCTATTATGCATAATTTTTTTTCTCTCCTTATAATAAATATGAGATGAAGTTTTGTAAAAAGTAATTATGTAATTATGAGGAGAGATAAATCATAAACGTGAAAGAAACTACCGGCGCATGATAGCACCGCACACAATTTTAGTGTCCAACTGTCCACAGTAACAAAAGATCCTATGTCAGATGAGGATGTGTCACAAAAAATAATGCAGAATTTGGATAAGCACGAGCGTAACATAGGACAAGGCATTACGTGGACACAATCTGTACAGTTGTACCCTCCAATCGTATGCGTCCACGTTTCCTCATGTTCCAAAGTCAACGAATCATGATCGAATCAAACGGTGATGATCTGAGGTGTAGGAAGCAGTAGCATGTGAAGTTTTAGCAGATTGAGTGTTCTTCACTTCAGTTATTTATGTGAATGTGTGAAGAAAGAAGGGATCATAACTTGTTGTCAGAGCGTGTTATGGTGAGAATGGGAGAGAGTCCAAAGAGTCCAGAGGCTAAGCTGGGGTTGCGAGTAGAGGATCTATGGGATGTTCAAGAGCCACAGCTGAGTCCTGATGAGAAACTCAATGCTTGCTTTGAGAGCATCCCTGTCTCTGCCTTCCCTTCACCCCCTTCAAATCAAGGTACTCAGTAGTGATTCATTCATTGTGTATCTTACATCACATCAATTCTGAACTTTTCAAAAGGATGATACTTTTATATATTACATAGACGTAGCTGGTGTTGTTATTTAAACAAAATTATAATTTTTTTTAATATGTGTAATAAAGAATTTCATATCTAAAACTATAATTTTGATTAGAGAACAACAATAATACTAAAGTTTCATGCTTTTCAAAAATGGTAAGTGACTGCAATTTTGGCTGCCAAGGTTTTTGGGATCATCGCAACCATAACTGTGACCACATGAACCACTTTTGTGTGAAATTTCTTGCAACATCGAGGATTGAAATTGCGACTTAACCGTGATTTTCAGAGATGGCAAAAAAAAAAAAAGATTGTGATTATACCCACATGAAAATTAATCTCTGGTATTTGTTGTGACACTACAAATATTTTAGGCTGTTGATATGATGATAATGCCAATTTCTTTTCAGTTTCAGCCTCAGAATGTAACTTTTTTGTTGTTGTAATTTTCTGTGTTCAGAAGTTGAGATAAAATCAGATGCCACCCTAGCCGAGGCAGTAAAAATACTTGCACAACATAACATCCTTAGTGCACCTGTGGTGGATGTAGATGCACCCGAAGATGCTAGTTGGATTGACAGATATATAGGAATAGTTGAGTTTGCTGGAATTGTTGTATGGATTCTGCATCAGGTTGGCTTATCGATTTGAATGTCAAGCTTCCTCGTCTCTCCTCTCCCTCAAAGAGAAAAAATTGATACATAAAAAATGCTTTGTGAAATTAGTAAAGCTCAGAAGTGAGATATTTCGTAGAGGATGTGAAAACATGCTAAAAAGACTATTTTTGTATTATCTCCTCCTCTTTAATTTTAAATCATGCTAAAATGACTATATGATTGAATCTAGTACAAGTTAACATTAATTCAATATTCTGGTGGGGTGATGTGAATTCTGTTTCTGGGTTCTAGGTGGAAGGTTGATTTGAATTTTTTCTTGCATCACATGCTTAGTGTTTCCAATTCAATCATGAACTAGTGGAAAAATGATGTTACCTGGTTGTTGTTGAAGTGATTTTCGTGGTTGCCTTTTTCAAACTATTTCAATATGACAATCAATGCTTTTGACAGTCTGAACCGACATCTCCCAGGAGTCCATCCAGTGGAGCTGCAGTTAATGGAATAACTTCTACTCAAGAACATGAAGCATTAGGCCTTGAATCTGCGGCGAAAACTTCAGGAAATTTCTTTGAGGATCTGACTTCTTCTCAACTTTATAAGAATACAAAGGTCGTGTATTGGCTTTATCAATGTAAACTAAAAGGGGGATTATGTTTTATTTGGTTCTTGTCGCAGCTGTTCATTTATTTTGATTTGATACTTTTTATTCATGTCACTAGCTAATTCTTTGGCAAACAGGTTCGTGACATTTCAGGGTCATTCCGTTGGGCTCCATTTCTTGCTTTGGAGAGATCAAACTCATTTTTGACCATGCTTTTGCTGCTTTCCAAGTACAAGATGAAGAGTGTTCCTGTGGTGGACTTAGGTGCAGGTCGAATTGACAACATTATTACGCAGTCTGCTGTAATTCACATGTTGGCAGAATGTGCTGGTCTTCACTGGTTTGAGAGTTGGGGAACCAAGAAACTGTCTGATGTTGGTCTTCCCATGGTGACACCAAATCATATCATCAAGGTGGGTAACTGTCTTCTGTTGAATTTCTACATCATGGTGGGAAATTATGTACATCAAACTTATACCTCACCTTAACTAAAAGTCAAGTTACTACATTTTGAATACTTTTTTGTTTTCTAGGTATCATAAGTATCTTCTATAAGAGGTAATATGTCCGGTGATATGAGCGACAAAACTCTCATTTTGAATATTTAATATAACTATGTACTCAAAACTCTAATTAAAAATTATTGGTAGAGTTGGAACAATTTTATGCTAGGTAATCCATGTGCTATTACAATACATTTGCTACACAAAATATTATTGGCATATCTATGCTATACTAAACTTCAACACTTTACATTATACTCACCTTAAGCCTTCTTACAATAAGCCACAGCACACCATAATTTATTATACCTTCAATACTCACAAGACACCTCCTTGCCTGCATGTGTTGTATAGGCGTAGGTGCATACATCCCTCTACATAATTCTAAAGCAAAAGCTTCCTAGATGTCTTATTAAGAATATATAGATAATGCTACTAGTTATTTCCTTTTCCCCATTCAAGTAGCTCATTAATCTTAAAGTCTGTTCTTATTCAATCTAAAAATATTTTTTAGAGTTTCTCTATTAGAAAAAACTCTTTATTTTCAGTAGAGAATCTCTCAAAAGTTCTTCTAAACATGTTTTAAAAGAGACTCTTAATCAACTTCATAATATATGGTTTTACTTTTTCTTGTTTTCAGGTTTATGAAGATGAACCAGTGCTTCAAGCATTTAAACTGATGAGGAAAAAGAGAATTGGAGGGTTGCCAGTGATGGAAAGGGGTGGCAGCAGGGCAATTGGTAACATAAGTCTGCAAGATGTTCAATTCCTCCTAACTGCTCCTGAAATCTACCATGATCATAGGTTTGTCGTCACATTTGACCCGATAAACAGGAACTTCTTTATGATCCATCTTTCTTTAGTTGTTCCATTCATCGCATGGAGTCTTTTAATACAAATTAGAAATGTTTTTAAAAGTTTTTCTATTAAAATTAATGAGCTTTTTTTCGGTTGAGGAACTCTCACAATCGCCTCTAAACTAATATCCTAACAAATTCATACTAATTAAAAGTTCGCACTTATGACAGATCTATTACAGCAAAAGACTTTCTGATAGCCGTCAGAAGCTACTTAGAAAAGCATGAAGGGGTCTCTCCTATGTCAGGTGACCTGATTACATGCAACAAGGATTGCACGATCAAAGAACTGATTCAACTGCTTGACCATGAGAAGATTCATCGAGTCTACGTTGCTGACAATGATGGGAATCTTGAAGGGCTGATCACACTCAGAGATATCATCTCAAGGCTAGTACACGAGCCCCGTGGCTATTTTGGTGATTTCTTTGATGGGGTTCTCCCCATGCCTCCAAACAGCAGGGTTTGACATGCATCCAGGAAGAATAACTTCTAATCCATCAGTAACTAATTGAAGTGTCTCATTGGGGCTGAGAACAATATCTTGGGGGGTCTTTGTAACATAAGCGGTTTGCACTTTTCAAGTTAGTTCTCGTTTAAACTTGGGTGAAACTGTAAAAAGTGAAATTTTGTGTAATTTTTGATGTAATAATCGGGGAGTTTCGGTCCTTTTGAGCAAGTTGATCCGTAATCAAACTATGTTTTGAGATACTACTCAGCAATTTAGAACCAATAATTCGTACCCTATCACAATTCTTGTTGAGTGTTCATTTGGAACAGCCATAATTAAAGGTTAAAATTATACCAACGAGTTACAAGAGGGGGAATTCATACTCGACAGCTTGTTTAGAGCATTTGCAACTTTAACCAGCAATCCAACCGATTGGGACATTTTATGTAGTAAATGGGTGTGCAAGCATCCTGCTTATGTTTGCACAGATCACTTGAGAAAACAGAGGGCAAACAAGAGAAAAACTGACTTGCAAGAAGTTATGTACTAAGTTGTCACATCCACAACCAAAGGAGTTTCTTATTTGGAAAAGGAAACTGCTCCATTCATTAAACTATAAGTTTATAAATTGTTGGAATTTTTTGATGCAAAAAGCGTGACTATTATCAATTTTTTTTTTTTTCTGTTTCTCCATATAAATAATACCGAACTACATAAGTCATCTGGTCAGTTGAGGCTTTGGTCCGAATGATACCACAACTCCCCACCAAAACTTGACCCAGTTTTGATTCCCCCTGCTTGGGTCTTTCATGTGTCATCTATGTTCTCCTGCCATACCAGAAAAAAAGAATTTTCAAAATCAGACCCAACTGGAATCATCATAAGGTTTATGTATCAAACATAACATTAACTTCAACCACAATATTTGACTGGCATTACATTGTTATGAGCAACAAAATATACAACAATGACAATTTACAGAATTGTGAACCCAAAACGGCGGACAGGCCGTTTTTAGGATTTAAACACAGCCTCAGCAACCTTACGGTTGCACCAAGGCTCACCCTCTCAGAACTGTGAACCTAAATTACGTAAAAATTATGTATAATCAAATCTTACATAAGTTTTCAGTTGAGCTCCAAGCCGGAGCTAATTCAATCACAGAAAGAAGATTTCAGAGTGACTCAATTACTCCAAATAGAAACTTGTGCTGAAAATGAATTCAGATTATTTCAAATTTTAGTAATCACTTCACAAACTGAATTGAAAAATGCACTGTGTGAAAAAGGAATAACAAGGATTTTTATGGCCAATTTTAAATGCTTTTCTTATCTCTTTTCAATTCTAGTAACTATAAAACACTCAGATTTTAGGAGAAAGCCTTATAAAATATAAGAGTTAGTAAAGTGCAAATTTATCTATATTGTATTGTAAACAAACACCATCAACATAAGCAGCACCCAATCATTTGCTCCTCTATTTTTAGTTAACATATCCCAATATGGTCCCCTTCCCCCAACAAAAAAACAGACACTCAGTCTCCCAATATAGGAAATAGTAATTATGTCAAATGTATTTTAGTTCCTAGAGCAGATAAGAACTCTGTAGGAGGCTACGAGTGCTTTGGTTTTGAAGAATTCAATAAAATTCCCCTTTCAATCAATGCAAGAAAAGAGACCCATTGCATTTTTTAGCAAAGCATTCAGGCAGCAATCTTTCCAAATATATTCATGAAAAGTAGTTAATGACATTGGCGTTAGCAATTCATCATTGGAGGCAGTATCTATTGGAAAGGGAATTTCTGGTTCACACTGATCAAAAGAACTTCGAGCACTTGTTGGAACAAAAAATTTCCAGTGCTGATGAGCAGTGTTGGGTGGCCAAATTGTTAGGTTTTCACTTCGGTATACTGTACAAACCAGGGAAGAAAACAAAGCACAGACACCCTATCTAGAATGCATGAAGGAGAACTGAAGGCCGTAATATCTTCTCCATTGTGGTTGCAGGGAATGGAAATTTATGAAGCCCATAAAAGTCCATCCTTGAATAAACATAATGAGGAGCTGCAACAAAATTCTAATGCAAGATCGGGTTATTACCAGAATAAGGTTATGCTACTCCATAAGGGCAGGCCAGTGATTCCTTCAGATTCAACTTTTATTCCCATTTGTTGCAAGAATGCCACTCCTCACCTACTGGTGATCATTTGGGATATCTTAGAACTTATAGATGATTGGCTGGTAACCTGTACTGGATAGGTGTGAAAAAGACTGTTGAAGAATTTGAGACAGCTTCTGGCGTTTGCTAAAGGCAGAAATCTTGGGCAACATCCCCTTTATGGCTTGCTGCAACCATTGCCAATTCCAGCATAAATATGAGACAATATTTCTTTAGACTTTGTCACAGGTCTTATGAAGGGAATGAAATTGTACTGGTCATGGTGGATTGTTTGTCCGAGAATGGCCATTTTATCCCTCTGAAACATATATACCGCAAAATCAATAGTAGCTTACTTGTAAAAGAGGTGGGGAACTTCCTGGAATTCCAAAATCTATTCTATGTGATCATGCCCCCTTATTTGTAAGTTTATTTTGGCAAGAATTGTTCAAGCTGCAAGGAACTTTAAAGATATCTTCATCCTATCACGTGGAAAATGATGGCAAAACAGTAGTGAATCACTGCTTGTGCTTGGAGTCATACTTATGATGCTTTGCAATTGAACAACCAAAAACTTGGTCTCTTTGGCTGCCTTGGGCAGAATTGTGGTATAACATCACTTTTCATGTATTAGCAGGTACTGCATTTTAGGTGGTCTATTGAAGAGGGAACAAGTTAAAGGAACAAGATTGTAGAGGGAGAAACTAGAGTAGAAGCAGTGCCTCACAAGTTAAAGGAACAAGATGAGACACAAACAGCTCAAACGTCATTTATCCAAGGCTTGAAAAGAAGGAAGAACAATTTTCCAATGGAGAGTGAGCTTTCCTTTAGCTTGGACCACATAGACAGCAATGGTTGAACAGCATATAAACCAGAAGATTGCTACACACTTTTTCAAACCTTTTCAGATATTGGAAAAGTATGGAGACTAGAGAGGCGTCTTACAAGTTGGAGCTACCCACTACTTCTAAATTACATCCTGCATTCCATGTTTCCCAACTCAAAAAAACTATTGGCTTGTATGCAACAGAATCAGAACTTCTGACCAAACTTGAAGTGGAGGATGAAGACTCTATACAGCCAAGTAGATTTTGAGTACTAGAGGATATATGCATGCAGCAAAGAAAATGAAGCAATTTATAATTCAATGGAAGGGCTTGTCATCTGAAATGCATCATGGGAGAAAGAGCTACTATTGAGAAATCAATTCCCAATCTTGGCCTTGAAGACAAGGCTACATTTACAGCAGGTATAGTGATAGAAACCGAGACTTTGTTGGGATGGAGGAGAACCAACTAGTAGATTCAAGTTCTAGTAAACCAGCTATCTGGAAGGTTCACTCCAGAAAGACCCATAAGGTCTGAGGAGAAACTTGGATCCTTGGTTCTGGATTTGTATCTAAAACAGTGGTTGTTGAATTCAATAAAATCTCCATTTAAATTCAGAATTGGTATTCTATTAATTAATTTCATGCCTTCTCCATTTAGTAAAATAAGGCTATGTTGATACTAGACCAATAAATTGAACCACAATAAGCTCAACTGTCCTATTCAAACTAACAAACAAAATCTGTATCCTCTCATTCTCTTATACTTGTAGAAAGACAATTTAATAAGATAGCCAGCCATCTGAAGAAAATGCAATTTGAATCAAAGTATACTCATGATCAAATCATAGATCAAGCTCGAGTTAAAACTGCACACACATGTTATTTCTGCCTGTTAAATTTGGCCAATTTTGTACTGGGTAAATCTTAAAGCAACAGGAAGCAATTTAGGCAAGCATATCACTCATAGTATGACATCTTGTAAGAAACTCCATTGGTTCACTGGTACTCAGTGACAGATGTACATGCTGGCCAGGAGATGCACTTGCACCCCCTCAATTTGAAAAAATTACTGAATAAATATTTGAATTTTTTATATTTTGTCCCCATAATTTTATGTATTAGAACTCACACTCTTAATTTTTTTCTTGTTACAAATAAATATCTTAATTTTTTTTTTTTATTTTGTCCTTAATTTAATATATTTGAACCTATTACATTTAATGCCTCCACTGACTCTGAGTCCTGGATCCGCCACTGCTGGTACTAGTGACCATTCAGTGCCTCATCCTAACAACATATAACAAACTCATTAGAAAACCCACACAACACATGTAAGCATAAAAATTTGATCTGAATAACAGAACAAACTTCAGCATAATTTTTACCATGGTAGAAAACTGGTCTCTAATACAGTGCATGGCTTTCAGCATATTATCTAGAGAATCAGTAGCCAACTGGAACTTCACATCTTGCTCTCCTGAGTGAAATTGAGCATCATTTTGAAGCTGAAAAAAAATGCAGATAAACTATAGAATCACCTAGAACCACATTTGATCATTTTATTTGTAATACATATTATACATAATAATAATAATAATAATAATAATAATAATAAGGTCATAACAGTCTATTGATATGCACATCTGAACCACTAGGGTCACCTAGTGGTTGGGATAGTATGTTTAGGTTCAAATTTTGTTGCCTTTGTTGTAATTCCTACCTATAAAAGTAAAAATAAAATACGCACATCCGTTACTTCTTATAAAAAGAAAGTGCAGCATAAAATGGACATTGAACGAAACTCCCTCCTCTACCAAAAAGTTGAGGAGGTGGTATTTACCTTCAAATTAATTACAGCTGCAGGGTCTGCTGATTCTTTATCCACATTTGCCATATTCCATGTCATTGCCTTCAACCGAGGCACAATATTCTGAATACAACAATACAGTTTAAATATTTAATCTCAAAACAATTGAGCTCTCCACATTCACAAACAAAACATACATAAAATAGGTAACCTGATCTTTGAGCACATCTTGTTGCCACTCTGGCTGAAACTTGTGCAACAAAAGTGTCAAAAGTTTCTGCAATTCAGGCAGAACTTCCGTGGGAAACAACTTCGGAATATCCTCCTTGCTGGTGTTCTCATAAACACACCTCCTGATTAACATTCGGAGGCAAACCAGAAGCTGCGAGAGTGTTAAAATGATAATCTATAACAGATAAAAGTTCTTCTCACTAAACTTCTCCAAAAACACTTCAGGAAAAGAAAATAAGTTTAGGACTATTTCTTAGAACTTCTATATTAAAAAATACTTTCACTAAAACATATTTTTTATTTTCAATAGAGAAAAACTCTTCAAACTTGTATATAAACATGCTTCACGAAGAAAAAATAAATAAAATTATAATAAATTAAAATTGATTTTTGTATAAACTAATATGTAAAACTCTTTCCTATCGAGTTCTCTAACATCTTAATTTATATATAAACTAATTTTAACTTTTTTTCTCTTAAAAGTGTTTTTTATTTTTTGAAAAATTTATCCAAAGATGGAGAACACTACGTACTGGATCGAGATCGGATTCGTTTTGGAGGTGGAGCATTTCGTGGATGATGCATCGGTCAGAAGTGGTAAGACCAGTTTTTCGGGTTCTCCAAAGGGTTTGAAGAATGCATTCAATGGATTCTTTTGAATTTGCCCTTAGCAGCACCGGTAAATGACACCATACCGTTTGCTCCATCAAACACCGTCACCACCTCCTTCAATTTTTCATCTTTTTCAGTTTCAGCTACGTGCTTTTCTAATTTACTCAATATTGCCATTTCGTCCCTCGGTGAAGCTCAAGGCCCATAGTCATCGGGGCAAACTAGTTTGCTCGGCCCATTAATTTTCAAGGCTAAAATATACTCTCTCTCTTTTTTCTTTTTTTTTTCTCCTTTCATTTTATTCTTTTATTCTATAAATTTGTTGGTGTTCTTATAAGATAATGATAATTTCTGTTTTGGAATATGATTTTGATTTTTTTTTTTATTAATTTAAGGCTGTAAATTATGTTATCAAGATTAACTTGTACGAAATTATAAAATCTGTTTGAATAAAAAATTCATATACATCGATACTATTAATAGTATATTATTAATAAATGCGACACACTTTTTATTATACATATTTTATTAATTATTTTATCTCTTATTTTTTAAAACGTTCTCTCTTGTAAGTTTTCCTTTAATTTTTCGTAATTACTTCTTTTTTATTCAAAATCTCACACCTTTTAAATAATTAAATAATTATTCAAATCAATCATATTTTTTATTTTTAATTATTAAATACTCACACATATTTAATATCAATTTTTATTATTATTTATTTTTAATAAAATACATGAAGATACAAAGTATTTTTTTTATGTTAATAATAAATAATGTGTGACAGGTGAATATTTAAAGAATTAAAAAATTTAGGTTAAAAACCTAATTTGGTCTCTTATAATATTTTTTTGTTTCAATTTAGTTATATTTTAATTTTTGGTTTCAATTTGATCTCTAATAATTTAAATTAGTGCAATGTCGAAATTTTGTCCAAATTATTTAAACGGAGTTAACTGTTGGCCACGTGGATATCACGTAGATCCATAGGTGGATGCCAAATTTCTTTAATGCATCTGGAACCAGAACGGCCCGTTCTAATTGCACTCTTGGTGTGTTAATTTTACACTTGGAACGGGTCGTTCGAGATGCAAAATTAATACAATAATAGTGCAACCAGAACGGGCAGTTCTGGTTTCAGAACAGGCCGTTTTGGTTCTAGAATGTCAAAAACAAATGCTCGATGATTATAGTTCACGCCCATGATTCTAAATCACGGTTATGAATCGTGCAAGAAAAAAGACATAAGATACAAAGCATTTCAAACACTGGATTTGGTAATATTGTAAATGAGGATTAATAACTTCAATTGCTAAACATTTGGGCTATACAATGTATCATTAATGACAATGCAGTGTATCATACATACAATGGTGGCAGGTTTTATTTCATTGTTAGTCAAACTGAAGTTAACCACTTACTATCAAATCGACACTATACAGTCAAGAATGAAACGACATGGTATTTTCCCTTGAAGTCATTGACCGATGTACCTCAACAACAACAACCTGTTCTTGAGAAGGTACAACCTGAAGTAGAGGAAGAGGACACACAGGACCAACATTTCACCACACAACCACATATATAGGTGGATAATGTTGATATCATGTCAGTCATTTAGTGTTATATGATGGATAAGATGTATTATTGGCACCTTCAACGTTACCTAAATGATTTTCCTTCTTAGTAATTTATTTGAACTTTCTTAGTATATGTTATGTTATGAATTTTTGTTTTCAGTCTCTGAACCATATTTCTGACTTTGAATTAATGCTATGGTGTGAATTTTTATTTTTAATTTTTGAACTACATTGCGGTATTTTGTTGAACGTACGTATGTGGTTGGCGTTTTGGAATGGCCCGTTCTGATTTTAGAACGACTGCTGCACTCGTGGTATGTTAATTTTGCATCTGGAACGGCCCGTTTCAAATGCAAAATTAACACACAACATGTGCAACTAGAACGGCCCGTTCTGGTTTTAGTTACATTAAAGAAATTTGACATCCACCTATGCATCTACGTGGCATCCACCTGGCATCTACGTGACATCCACGTAGCCAACAGTTAACTCGTTTAAATAATTTGGACGGAAGTTCGACATTGCACTAATTTAAATTATTAGGAACCAAATTGAAACCAAAAATTAAAGTGGGACTAAAGTGAAACAAAAAAATATTATAAGGGACCAAATTAGAGTTTTAACCAAAAATTTATTATTAATTTTTTTATCGCTTGTAAGATTTATTGTACTCAAATTTTATCATATTTATAACTCATTTTCATTCAACATTAACTCAATTCCATATTTTTTATATAGATAAAGTTTAATTAAACATATGATTTAATCTATATATAAAATAAGCTCTCAATCAAAATTTTTAAAAACTTATTAAATTTGTTCTAATATGAGAAATGTTGCTAGAAAAATCTTAGCGAGAATTTAGCAACTGTTTTGACTCGAAACATTTAGTGAATGTAACTTAAAAAATCAAACTTGCAAATGTCCTCTTATATATCAAGTTCACATCTAGATCATAATCCCTTACCTTTTGCCCCTATATCCATGACTAACGATACCTCTTAATGTTCGTAAATTGTTGCATTTAATGACTATTATCGAACAAATACCATTAATATCTTATGATCTTGTAAATCATGTTGTCTTTCTTGCACATTCATAATTGCTTGAATGTCAACCTAAAGAGGGATCGATATCTAAACAACTTGTAAGTTACATAATCTCTTAGACTCGAATGTGAGTATAAAGTGTCTTATCGGTCATTGCTAGAATATGGTGCTCAACATAAGTCATTCTTGAATCCAAGTAGTTAATGTCTAAACAACCTATAAAGTACAAAATTAAACTTTAATCATTAAAATATTAACAATTTGATTATTAAATGGATAAAAAAACACAATTTAATCACTACAATCATCCTTGACAATTATCTTGTTCTAAAATTAATCCTATATAAATGTATTCTTAATTTTATTTTCATTTGTAAAGAATATATTTAAAATGAACTACAATACATAATTAAGTTATAAACATTATGTATATAACCAAATTAAAAATATATAAGAAAATTAATAATCACATATATAAAATCAACTCATTATAAATTTAACAGGTATAAGAATGAATTTAAAAAGTTTTTTTTATAGATAAAATGATTAAATTAAATATTTATAACATGTACCTGTCTGAGGGCACATTCGTAATTTTCTGGTAGGTGAATGGCCGAATGAGAGCTTCAGGTGAATGTTTCAGAGGGGGGAGGTACCTGCAAAAGGCACTCCAACGCTCAAGTCAGGACAAACACAATTCTCGAGAGTAATAAATGAACAGTGACATACCTCGTTATAAGTGACCTATTTATACTACCTTTGATGGGCCCTGCACGTAGTGGGCCTCTTCTGAAGCTTACCAAATTAGGTAATACGATGCTAATCGGCTGATTATACCTTAATCGCGTGTTTGTCCTTGTTAATCGTGATCATCGTCGTACTCCTTGCCTGACTCTATCGGCTCCTTGCCGAGCCGATAGATAAAGGCTTGGGGTGTTGCTTGTCCTCGGTCTTTGGCCGGGCCGATGGGTATGTGTTAGGCCATACTCAATACTCGGCCTTCGGTTGAGCCGATACGTAGGGGCATGTGGAGCCCTATCGTGCTTCGGTTTACCTTACCAGTCTCAAGCCGAGCCGAGGTTGCTATCGAGTTCTCTTGGCTTTCGGCCACATGCCGAGCCGATGGTAGTGCTATTAATGATCTTGTGCGTTAGTACGGTTGTAGTCGTGTTCGAAGTCCGCGTGGGTGTCTGAAGGGACGGCACGTGTTGGTCCACGTGATCGATAGGACCTTTCCGGTACATAACACATATTGAGACTAATATATATATATATATATATAAAGGAGGGTTCAAACGACACCGGTGTAACTTTTACTAAGTGTTACACCGCTCAATAACTTTATATTAAATGTGAATTTTGAAAATCCAACCGTTAGATTGAAAGTTCATATCTCTTAGATCATATATGTCAAATTTTATATTAATCTAAGATGATTTGATACTTCATTCTCATAAAATAAAATTGACGTAATATATACATTTCAAAATATACTAAAATATGAACGTTTTGATTACCTTCAAGTTGTTCAATTTTAATAAAATTTGACATATATGATCTAAGAGATATGAACTTTCAATCTAACGGTTAGATTTTCAAAATTCACATTTAATATAAAGTTATTAAGCAGTGTAACACTTAGTAAAAGTTACACCGATATCGTTTGAACCCTCCTCGTATATATACATATAATTATAAATTTAGTAAGAACAATTTGATATTTTAAAATTGCTTAAAAATTCATGCCCAAAAAAATCTAAGATGATTATTTTAAAAAATGAAGAATTAAAACGAATTTTATAATAAAATAAGAAAAAAAACATTTCAGCCATTTTCATTTTATTTATCTGTTCCGATTCCGAATCATCTCTCTTGAAAACATTCAAAAACAAACGACGCGCTGAACCGTATCGTGATTTCTGTCTCGGATTTTGAAAGAAGAAAAGTAACCCTTCACACTGAAACAACCACTGTCAGTCCCCATGGCTCCGCACGATGTCCGCCGTCCGTTCAAGCGGCCGGCGATCTCCGATCAGGAGAGGCGCCGCCAACAGTCCCTCCTCCGCCAGGCACAGAACCGCCGCGACGCGCAGCACCACGCGCGCTTCTTAGCCTCCACCGCCCTCTCCCTCCCAACCCTAATCCCCGAGGCCGAATCCGAACCCGAACCCGAACCCGAACCAACGGAAAACCCCGAACCTTCGAACGAGAGCCTCGACGTTCTCGGAGCCTCGAAGCTGAAAGCCGCGGAAGCTCGCAAGTGGTTCGCGAAGCAGCTCATGCTCCCGGAGTGGATGATCGACATTCCCAGCAACCTCTCCCAAGACTGGTCCTTCTCCTTATTCACTGTAACTTCTTTCAACCTCTCTCTCTCTCTCTCTCTGCTTCTAACTCTCACATTCATCGTTGTTTTCAGGTTTGTATTCGCTCGTCCTTCCGGGAAACGGTGTTTCGTGGTTTCGTGTAACGGAACCACGATAAGCCGTCTTCGGAATGGTTCCATTCTGCATCGGTTCCCCTCCGCGTTGCCAGCCGGAGCGAGGAAGAAGGATTCCGGTCCCTCTCAGACTTACTCTATATTGGACTGCATTTTCCACGAGGTGAATGAATGTAAATAGTTGATTGACTCAGGCACTCTTTAGAACACGTCTAAGAGCCTTATTGAATACAAGCTAGAAGTGCTTTTGAGAGTTTCTCTACAAAAAATAATGACTATTTTCTGGTAGAAAAACTCTCAACAGCACTTCTAAGCTTGTATCTAAACAAACTCTAAGAGCATGTATACCCTATCCCAAAAGTAACATGTCACACAATTAAGAAAGAACGCGTACCTTATCAAGATAGTAACATGTTTCATGAAATTACACGGACAACTACGAGTTTTTGTGACATTGTAATGACACCCCGTGAGATTTCACAAAATTGCACTGCACTCCTGTGTTTTAACATTTATGGTAACCTCTTTTACAGGCGATCAAATTATTAAGGGATTATTGTAATGTTTAAGGGGTGTTAGTGTAGTGTTTTTCAAATAACCAAGGGGTTATTGTAAGGATAGAATAAGTAAGGGATGTTGTGCAATTGTACCAAACTTCAAGGAGTGTTTATGTAATTTTTTTTTTTTAATATCTAGTATTTGTTGAGGTTCTATACAAATGCTTTAGGCTGTTGATATGATGATGATAACTGGTGTTGAGTGTTGACTTGTGTTGTGTGTGATTTTTGGGTTGGCAGGGGGATCAGACTTATTACGTTATTGACATGCTTTGTTGGCGGGACTATTCTCTGTCTGATTGCACTGCAGAGTTTAGGTTCTTCTGGTTGAACTCCAAGCTTGTAGAGACTGGTGCTTGTGACCCTCCCTCACATTATCACAAGTATAGGTTTAGTTTGGTTCCGGTGTATGGTTGTGACTCGAATGGACTCTATGCTGCTTATTCGGCGCCGGTGCCTTATGTCAAAGATGGTCTTCTCTTTTGTAACAAGTAATTGATAATTGATAAGTATTTTGTTTTGTGATTTGTCTTGAGGCTTCTTATTTTGGGTTGATCCTTTTTATTTGATGTCTTTTTTAGGCATGCTCACTACCAGGCTGGAATTACGCCATTGGCGCTGGTTTGGAAGGATGAGAACTGTAGTCAGTATGTTATGGACACAGACAGTAAAGGGCAGGTTCCCAACCAACAGCAGGTGTTTCCCCTTGTTTCCTCTGTGTCTTTTTATCATCGCTTCATTTTCTGTACCTTTTGCTTTTGTGGATTTATAGCCCTTGCGATTGAGTAGTGTATGTATGGACCCCTGGTTGCACTTGTTAGGTACTTTATGGATGATTTTTCTTGCTTAATGTTCATTGCAACTATCTAGTATCTAAGAAATTGTGAAATTATGATTTTGAAAATGCACACTTCCTAAAATGTATACACAGATGATTTCTCTGATACAGATTTAGGTTGTATAGAGAAGATACTATGTTTGAGCATGTGTGCCTGCACACACCTTTTTTTCTTTAGACACATTGTTTGTTGAATTAGATATTGTTACACTTGGAAATAAGGCTATGACCTAATCAGAATGCTTCTTGAGGAAGAAGGTCCTCAACAGTTTTATTTATATTGATTAATGAATAATATGCAGTATATTTAATTACATAATCCCTTAATTGTAGGGATGAAGATAAACAGATACAAATAAAAAATATAATAATGGAAATATAGAATATAAATAATGAAAATCTAATCAAATCTCAACACACTCCCTTAAGCTGGAGCGTATAGATCATAAGCATCCAGCTTGGTACACATATGAGATATTCTTGGACCTCTAAGAGGCTCGGTGAAGATATCAGTCAAGTGATCATTAAATTCACAAAAGAGGTAGTGACTTCTCCAGAAATGATCTTTTCTCAGATAAAATGACAGTTTATTTCAATGTGCTTAGTCTGTTTGTGAAAAACTGGATTTGATGCTATATGTAGAGCTGCCTGATTGTCACAAATGAGATTCATTGGCTCAATTTTGCAAAACTGGAGTTCATTAAGGAGTTGTTTCAACCAGACAAGTTCACATGTAGTAATAGCCATGGCTTTATATTCAACTTCTGCACTAGGCCTTGTCACAACATTTTGCTTCTTGCTTTTCCAAGAAATACAATTCCCTCCAATTAGGACACAATACCTCGAGGTAGATACCCCAAGGTAGATTGATGATCACTCAGAGATCCAGCCCAATCTCATCTGTATATGCAACAATATTAATGTGACCTCTATTCTCATAGAGCAAACCTTTTCCACATTCACCACACCAAAAGCCAAAGGTTCTGAACCTGTTATGGGATCATTACCTGACATTGCTCCCTGATAGGGTATCCACAGAAAATGTCCCATGAGTTCCTCTGAAGTAGGGACACTAGGGTTGGTCAAGATTTGATTGCGGATAGATTCAAAATCTTTGTGAAGGCCATGGAGAACGTACACCATACACATACTATCTAACTTGATCATTTTCTTTGGGTCATCATCAATTAAAGGGGTTGACTTCATCAATTGTAGACTAGGCTTTGCTCAGATAGGCGGGTAAATCATGGTTTGTCATTTGAAGAGTGGCCAAATTATGAATTACATCATAAAGGTGTTGGACATCATTTGAGTACAAGTCACAAGCTTTCTTCTAGATGTTGTAACACGGCTTGTAATTACAAAAATAGACCATCAACTTGGAGTTGATAGACTGCCATAAGAGAGTGACCAATTTTGCATTTGCTTTCTTCCATTGGTCATGATTTTGTTGACCAACATCTTTGGGTCTCTTTTCCAAGTGATTGGACAATCCTTGGCCAAGGAACCATATCTCTAAAGCCGTTTGCCACTGCATATAATTCCTTTTGGTGAGTTTTTTCTGATGTAATGGAGGAACATTTGGAGAAAACAAAGGAAACTGGCCTTTTATTAGAGGATTTTGCCATTTGGACGCAAATGAAGAGTAATAGTAAGGTCCAAGAAGGTTGGACGACCTTCTATAGGAGGGTAAAAGAAGCAAGTGATACTCGAATCAGTGAGAGGAGACTGCGGCAAGTGCAACAAACCAAGTCGCGTTGCAAACACATGCAGAGTCTGATAGATTGACTCTGTCTATTTTTGGTGCCAGCAGTCTGACCTCAAATGGAGGTGGTTGTCGCATGGGGGCTCTTTTTGTGTCACTGAATACAGAATCTGACAGATTGATTCTGTCTATTTTTGGTGCTGACGGTCTGACCTCAAATGGAGGTGGTCGTTGGGACAACTAGTTTGACAGCAACCCTTCTTGGAAATAGGAGAAACTCACCCACATATGTCATAGAAGCCTTCAGCCTTCTTCTATGCTTAAGTTGTTTAAAGCTAGCATCTTTTCCCTCCTTCCTCTGTTTTAGAATGGAAGTTATCATTATGTTATGAACATATGAATGCTAAACGTTGGCTATTATACCTTTTTAACCAAGTTGCATTGGTTATCCATACTACATTGGTTTGAATCTCAACAATTTTTTTTAAGACATAAAAACTCAAAAAAATAAGATGTGTAATTTTTATTTGACACCTTATATTCAGTTTCCAAAGGCATACATTGAGAAGTGTGTTGTGTGCGTTGATGATACATTCTACTCGGTAAAATATGAGATGACAAACAAGATTATTTGATGGCCTGGCTTCACAAAATTTGGATTTAATTTTATGTTGGCCTTGACACAGCAGAAAAGTTGTTGTCTTATGAGTTATGACTTGGAGGTCACAGGTTCAAATCCTGGAAACAACCTTTCTGTTTGTGGGGTAGGTTTTGTACATCTATCCTCCTTAAACTCACCTTGGGGGGAGAGCAGTGCGTTAGGTTGCCCTTTTTATTAATGAAATGTGTATTGTTTTCATCTGCGTCTCTCTAGAGGTCTTGGCAATGCATGGTTAAGAAACATTTACCCTTTTAATTTAGAACTGATTGTGGAAGGTGGGTATGTTGAAAAACTATACACACCATGAGGCTGAGCAGAGTGTAAGACTGTGTTGTGTGTAGGGATGAGATCAATTGATACCAGGTATAAAACTTTGTAAAATTACACTATTATTATAAAAAGTAAATTACATAAATCCAACTATTAAATTATTTTATCTTGAATATCATATTGAATTACACTTTTCTGTTATGTATATCAAATTTTAGATATTTTCAATGTAAGTAAATATGTAATTTAACAATAGTATTTACTTATATTTGAATAACATATTCATTAAACTAAAGTGGTGTGATGAAATATCATTTAGTTTTTAAAATATGATAGTATATAGACTTGATACATTATGGGAATTTTGAATTTACCAGATGGATTGATAAAATTTACTTTTAAGGTCTCACTATACAAAATTTGACAGACTTATTTATATAAGTATATTTATGTTTATACTTTATGTATTTACTTGAGCATAAAAGATATATTTGCAGTCTACATATGTGATATTGCTTAATCAGTTTCCCTGGCTTTCCAAACAGGTGGTTTTGGAGCTTCAAGATGATGGAAAACTAGCTACCTCAGATGATCCTCCTGTGGTATTTGGCTGTTTAGATGGAAGCTTTATACAACAGGTTTGTTTGAAAGAGGTCTCTATAATTGTAAATTGGCATCTGATGCTTAATCTAGCTATGACTTGTGAGGCTCAACCAATTGAAACTTTCTGCCACTATATAATCTTACATTATTTCTAGGAAATTGACTATTTTTACACTCTTGAACTCATAAAAATGGTTGGCTGAGAAATATTAATTTTGGATGGGTTAGTATGATAGAGTTCCAGTCATGAAATTAGCAGTAAACAAGCTTGCATATCAGGCATCAGACACTTTTCTTTTTATCATTTACCAAATAATTCTTGTGTAACTTTTTCAATTTTGCAGTCGGGGTTGCAGTCAGGATATCTTTTGCGATTTTCAATTGGAGAGGGAGGATTAGTTTTGATGGATGGGAAGCTTGAGAAAGCTGATCTACATTATCTTGGCAAGGCCAATCGAGCTCGTGCCTCTGCTGATAGTTTCTCTAAGGTAGTAAGGGAATATCAATTTCTCCTTTCATTTAATGGCTAACATTTGACCTGGATGAATTGTAAATGAATGTGGAAAATTTAACAATGTTAAATGGAATCAATTGTAAGGGAGTATAATTTACTGAAATACCAATTGAGTTGTCCAAAGATTTACTTGACATCAATTGAAAGATTTTGACATTAAATGTCTTAAAAAGATTAAAAATCACATCATATTGATCTTTATTATGATGTACGATAGTTTGTGTGACAGAAGAACTATTCTGAGGTCACTTTTAATCTTCCGAAGACTTATTTGATGTCACAATCTTTGCAGGGCCAAATTGATAGTTTGGTCTGATATAATTGTAGTAAGATTAGATATATCATTTGATTGCAGAGTAGATTCTACTTACTACCTTCACTATAATAATTAGTGCTTAATGATGAGTTGATGACTATTGATGCAAGGATTTGAGTATTTTGTTGGGGATTTCCTTACCAAAAATAATTAACATGTATCTTAGTTTAGAATCTTTAGATGCTTTATGAGTGGTAAAATATCTGGAGTTTTAGTTTATATTTGGTTTTATCTTCTCTTCTCTTTTTCATCATTATCAGTACTCTATTTCACAAGTGCCTTGTGATTCTTCTGTTTTTGCTATGATCTTTCCGAAGACAATCATTTCTTCAACCTCTTGACATGACTTGTGATGATTCCTTAAATTTTCTTTTTTTCATAAACAAGGAAATTATTAAGACAGAAATAGGATACAAATGCAAGAGGATAAGGTATCTTCAAAAACTAGTCCAAGACTAAAAGGAGAAAAACAAAGAGCATGAAACTTGCAATACTGCATGTCAATCTCTCCGCAGATCAACCAAAGACACCCCTCCTGGAAAAACCTTTAGCAGAATGACACAAGAAGAAAGCTAAACAAACAACTGTTTCCCAAATGAACTCCAAAAGCATCACTCAACCAGTGAAAGTTATAGCATTTCTTTCCAACCATATGCACTAAACACAATTCCTTTAATTTGTGTTATGGATTACGGAAACTACAAAGTAGTAATTTAGCTAGAAGTTTTGTTAGGCTTTCTCAATTCTCTGCAAAAGAAAATGAGAGTTTCCCTAGAAGAATTAACAAAATAAATCGTTGTGCTTTTTTATAATATTCAGATTGACCTTGTAATTGGCCAGATTTAAAATGCGGGAGACAGTAGGAGAATTTTATCAAATTGGTTTGCTTATTTTGCTTGTTAATCTTATTTACTGTTTTGTCTGAAGAAGACTTTCGTGGACCATCATATATTCACAATCACTGTTTACCATTTATTGTTGTTGGAGGTTTTGTTTACAACATTCTGTGGTATTACCCTTTCAGGTTATGTTCCAATACAGTGTTCGACACTCTCCCCTCAGAATTGATGGTCTTTTGGAATCGGTCAGCATACCAGTTGATCAAGAAAGCAAAGCTTGCGATGTTGAGATGGATGGTTGATGAACGATAGGGAATGCACAATGGATTGCATCAGTTTTTTATCCTGTGTGCAATGTTAAAAGTTGTCACCTAAAATTTTTGGTTCACTACGATGCTTATTTCTGCGAAGGCTTCCGTAATTTATATTGAGGATTCAGAAGATTGATAGCTACCACGCTTACTGAGATAGAGTTGTAATAGTCATACATAGATTGTGATTTGTAAGCGAAATTTCTTCAACCCAGATGGGAGCAGGTGTGCATGTGCATGTGCATGTTATATCCATGTCGTGTTCATTTGATGCTGGTAGCCTGATCATTGTATTTGATTTGAGTTTTTACAATTCCGAGTCAAGTAGAGTACGGTGTAGCGTATGAATTGTACAGTATTATAAATTATAAATTTAAAGTTGAATTCACTACATACGTGTGAAATTATTTGTTTACTTATCAGACACTTCAAAGCATGATGCTTGAAATTGATCGTTATACTGGTATTTGGTATGTATCTTAAGGTTTGATTACATAAATTTCTGAGTACTTTTAATAGAAAATAAAAAAATAAAATGTTTTTTCATAAGTTAAAATTATATATAAGTTAAAAACTATATTTTGGAGAAAATAATGAGAGTTTTTATTAAGTTATTTATGCATAAATTAGTTTTAGGTTTTGATTTTTTTTTTAATACTTTTTAACTTAAGTTTGTTGGAGTACTAATATTTAGTTTTATGAAACATTGGTGTTTTTTTTTTCCAATTTAAAATGCTATTTCATGTTGATATTATGTTTTATAATCTTGGTCATTAGCTTTTAGAAATGGCCGTGTTCATATAATTAGAATTTTGTCATCTGTGATATGTGTCTATATCCATGGTTCCTAAATCAAGTAAATGAAGCAACTGTTATTTATTTAGACGCTATTTTATTTCATTTCAAGACCATAATGGGTCTACTCGTACATAATTTAAGCTGCTAAAGTGGTTTTCTCGCAGCCATCGTGCACACAGGCCAAAACATCTCTGTAGTCTCTTGAGATGGTAAAGAAGTCATAAACTTTTCCATCACTACTTCTCTTGTACTCAAACAAGAGATATGAATGATTGAATGCTGTGAGTTTGCCGAATCCAAAGTCAAGGTCCCTGAAAAGACTCCAATAAGGTGGTACCGAGCTGAAGTTTGACAAGTGACTTCCCGCTCCACCAACAACAACATGAATTGTTCCATTCACCGTGCCTGAGTAATGATGCTTTTCTGAATTCACACAAATATTCTGCATCACATGCATTTAGATTATTACAAAAACAATGTTGCAGAATTCAAATTAAAAATAGTATATCCAGACACCATATTCATACATACCTGATAAATGGGGCATATTCTTTCGTAGTTATGGACGTGACCATAAAATGCAATGTCTACTTTGTATTTCTGCCAAAGCTTCTGCAAACTTTCCCTTCCCATGGGCTCTTCAAATGAGCCTTCTCTGCCATACCAAGCGTTAGAGGAGTACCCCAGGGGACGATGAGCTGAAAAGATTAGCCATGGTTGTTGCTTTCTATCTACAGTTGCAAGGCAATGCTCAATGAATTTGTACTGTTCTGATCCTTCTCTCCAGTCATGCTCACTATCTGCTATGCAGAAACGAAACATACCATAATCTGCTTTGTACCTGAACATTTCCAATTCTCATCATTTATCAGAGTTTAAATCCTAATTGTTATAATAGAAGTTATTGGTAGAAAAAAGGTTTAATTTTTTTTTGTCGGTAAAATTAGATATTGCATTATGAAATATATGGATGAAGAGGTGCCTTTTGTAGGCAAGGTGAAGTGATAAAAATAATGAATAGATAACAATTGGTGAAGGTAATATTGACCATCTTGGACAAGTGGAATGATAAATTTACATAAGAGAAGAAATCCGATTTACTAAAGTCAAAAGTATCATAGTTTGCATTTAGATTGATGTAACATACCAGAATTTGGCTTTATTCTCAGCAGGAACATGGTTTCTGCCGGAACTCCACATTCTCCACCTGAATCTGTGGTATCATAAAAAGATCCAGTGTTTGGCCAGTCACGTTCGTGATTTCCACTGCAGAATGCACCATGAACAGGATATTTTCAGTCTAATAAGAAGATACTTTTCTTCTTTCCAAATGTCAATGATATAAAAAGATTGCAATGAAACGAACCTTGCAATCATGTATGGTACAGTTGACGAAATTTCTTTCACTTGAGCTGTGAATTGGTCCCACTGTGAGATGTATCCATTTGCATAAGGCAGATCTCCTATGTGGAAAACAATATCATAATTGTTCAAATCCTTTATGAGTTGGTCGGTGGTGTTGAGTGAACCAGGTTGATAATTGGCATATTCATTTGAACCATCACGCTCAGCCTAAAAGACACACACACAAAAAAAAAATCCTCATTTTATTAATCATGCTTAAAATTAGAGTTTTCATTTAATATTTTGTTTGTGAATACTACCTTTCCCATGTCACCAAATATGATAACACGTTGCAAAGAGTTCTGTCCAGGATATGGGGATGCCTTAAACGAATAAGTCTTACTCCATACATAAGAACCATCAGACAGCAGCATATGCCCCAACCTGTAAGTGTACCTGAGAAGGGGAGCAAAACAGATCCCTTCAGAACACAATACAGTAACTCATCATAGTGTCATAAGCATGAAAAGATAGTTACATGTATACCTCAAATTTGGCCACAGTTCTTTCAGGAAACTAGTGTGTATAAAACCAGGGTCACGCCAGCCAACAGTTCGTGCAGGTTCACCTGTAGAAATACAAAATATCCTCATTGTGCTACATATCTAATTTAGTAGCCTGCTATCATCCTATGGTGCATTGATATTCATTTTCAATAAAGCAAATAAGTAGCCACTCTGTTAAAGTGAGTTACTGTGCTTCCTAATCAAAAAGATCTTTCCATGACAGTTTGGTTTACAATAGAAACTTAAGCTATGTAATAAACTAGCCAATCTGGTTGAATCTTAAGCAAATGTAACTATTTCATACCACACATGCTGTTACGAGTAAATGTCAATGTTCCAGCAGGAGATCGTGTGGGACTTCCTCCCTCGGGACCCCATTCAACGAAAGGGACAGCTTCATCTATGTCATATCCACTTGTCCATGTAACTGTCATCTGTATTAGATAAAATTTTACTTATATTTTTTTCAGAATAGTGGTTCAAATGTAAAACCATAGAGACGATTCCCATAACAAGAAGTTCAGGATGGTTAGCAAAAGTTAAAACGTTAGCATCAATTCCTATTATGCAATGTCACCACCAAAAATTTCCATAATGGTCAGAAATATTAGGATAATTTGAACTTGTGGTGAATACAATTAAATGAAGAAACATAAAAGCAAGGGTCTCTAGCAATTATATATAAACTTACTTCATCCCAAGACTTTCCCAAAGCAAGGCGCGGATAGACAGGAGCTTTAGGATTTGCAAATGATATGGAATTGGAAACTGCTACAAGTCTAGGCTGCAATCAGATAAATATTAGTCAGAAAATAATTTGTTCTGGATGAAAACAGGCCCTTTTCATATTAAGAACTGTAGTGTATGATGCTATTCTTTTTTAAAATAGTGTAATAGGTATGCCTTAGTAGTGTAAAAGTTTTACATTACTTTTACACATAGTTTTTGAGTTTAATGGTCATTAAATATCGATGTAAAAACTTTTATACTGTCAATCAATAAGGTATGACTTTTAAAGTATTTATTGTAAAAGTTAATAAATTTGTAAAGCATGATAATTTGTGATTGGATGTTTGGGCAAAACTACTTTACATTATTTATGTATTCTCAGATTTTTTTTTGTTTTCTCTTTATAAAATGTCGAAACAAAAGAACATTGGCATGTTTTAGTAGTTTAGAACAAAAAAAAAGTTGGTCATCATATCCAACATATGATCAGAAAAGATAGCTTACATTTGATAATCCACCTGAAAACAGTGCAAAGGAGAAATCTGCACGTTGATTGATCAACTGGAACTGCAAAATAGCTTTCCTGGTCTTTGTATAGTTTGGATTAGAGTGGTTGGCATACTTGTACTGATACAAAAATTCAAATAATAAAGATGAGAAATTCAGCATTGTTAAATTGTTGGTCCATGTACAAGTGTAGGGTGGCATTTACCTTTATGGGGGCTGTGCATATGTATGGTTCCTCTGCACGGCCAGACTGTGGACATGTTGATGAACTGTGATGTAAAAAAATATACATGGAGATGAGTCTCCTTTAATGTACAAATGTTATGTGAATGGGTGTGTTCAGGATTCTGATGAATAATTTAGTGATGCAATTAGAACAAGTAAAAAATTAGATGCAGTTCATTATTATTATTATTATTATGAATAATTAATGGAGTATGTGTTCATTAATATGTATTCGATGTGAGAAAGATTACTTGAAGTTTGCTGGAGAAAAAACTCCGACCCAGTCATCTACAGATGGATGTGGGGACTCTAGCTCTACAGTTACCCATTCGGTGTCATCACCCTGCAATGCAATAATACGTTAACCATAAATTAAATTAGTTTTATGTTCATAATTTACTTTATCATCGTAGAATATGTTAAATAACTTACAAGGATATATATTAATTTTAATAATTAAAACTAAAATAAAACAAAATGACCAGCTTAAATCTGTACAATTTTGAATGGATTTTTATTTGTTAAAAAAAAGGAGATATTTCAAATCAGACCGATTTTCTTCATTTGATTTGATTATACTAGAATTAAAAAGTTACAACTCATCATCTTATTGCATCCTTTTTCCAATGGAATAAAATATTTCTGTTGTTAAAAAAAAAATAATTCAAACAAGAATAACATTTTTATTCCATTTTTTACAAACAAGATGACATTTTTATTCCATTGCATTCAAATTTATCTCATACCATTACGCAATGTATATTTAATAACTAATTTATTTCATCCCATTATTTAGTTATTAATTTTTTTTTCATAAGCATTAATAAAAAATTAATAAAATAAGAAAGTAAAATAAATCGAGATTCTTTTTCTATAATAAATACTTATTTTAGATGTATAAATGATTTTAATTTATAAGGAAAAAATTATTTCACTTTTTTTTTTCTATAAATTTTTTTTAAAAATTTTATTCAAACAAGATCTAAATTAGAGGTTTATTCTAAATGCTATATAAATATGAGATGACATTTAAATGGGTATTCGAAGCTATATAAACAACGTCCATATTATCTTTATTTTATGAATTTATTTTTTTTTATAATGTCAAAATACAATATTAATAAATAAAGATTATTGAGATGATTTGGTATAGAAAAGAATTTCATTTTATATAAGATGTCATATAAAAATAATCATTATCTTATATAAAATATTTTAATATAAATACGAAGAGGCAAACTGTGTTAAATAAATTTGAGATAATGAATATTCATTCATATGTTATGGGAATATAGATATAACAGGTTAAGTAATTTATTAAATAAATTTGTGTAACTTTTTTCTATTTTTATTATAATATTTCTTTTTTAATGTATTTTCGTTAAAGTAAGAGTAGATTTTGTTCCCATCATTAAAACACATTTTACCCATATTTTATTTGTTTCTACCTTACACTAATATAAATTTATTAGATAACTTTTTATTATATATATATATATATATATAATATAATGACTTATAGGAAATGAAAATAATGATAGAATAACTTTTAAATTTGATCAACTTATTCTTAATATACTAAAATTCTCACAAAAACTCACTCTAAAATTGAGATACATAAATTTATATTATATATATATATATATTACTTTCTTAACCAAAAGTTTGTCAAAAACTATGTTAACAAAGTTTGTTCAACATTTATATTCTTCTTATTTAACTTGAATAAAATTATCTCCAATAAAAAATACATAATGCAAGATATACAGAACTAATGTGATACCTGAATGCCAAGTAGAAAGTGGAGTGGTCTAATGTAGGCAGAACTGTGGAGAGCCAAAACGGTCTTGTCAATGGCTATCTTGGCCAGTGGCTGCTCTCCGAATCCATCAATGTGATTTTCTGCAAAAACGATCCTCGAATTGGTGAAGCACAGTATCAACAACAGTAACACTTTTAGCCTCAACCAATTCCCTACATTTCCTTTCATTTTTTTTTTCCTTTACTGCGATTTGAGATACAGACAGTCTTGGTTCTAATATTTATAGGAGGCAACGTATTCGAACCGATCGAGGAATCAACGTGTGCTTTTATCTTATTCGAATAATTTTATCTTTCAAGTACTTGCAAGTTGGTCTTTGTTAGAGATAAGACTCCTATAATTTTTAGGAAAGTTAGTTGACTTGTCATTTTAGTATAATATAGTCTTATTACATATGTCCATATATATATATATATATAACTTAGATTCTTTCTTTTTATAATAAATTTTCTTTCAATAATATCTTTGAAAAATTTCTTTCTCTTCACCTTGTTCTCTCAAAAGGAGAGCTATTTCATTACATGATATCAGTTACGCTACAATTTTAGATCTTTTTCATGACTTTCACAGAAATTCCGTTTCATCCTCATATATTCTCAAATGCGATTTCATCCAAATTAACGGATGATAATTTTTTCACTTGGATGCAACATGCAAAAGCAACGATCAAGGGTTTTTGCTTGCAAAAACACATTGACGGAGCGGAATCAATTCCTGCAAAATTCTTGACTTCAGATGATGAATTGAAGGGTTTGACGAATGTTGCATTTGAAAATTATGAGCAACAAGACAATCTGTTGAAATCTTGGTTGCTTGAATCTATGGATTCACAATTTAAGATTCATATGGTTGGATGCGTGTGGTCGCATTAGATCTGGCATGCTTTGAAAGTGTATTTTGAATCTCAGATGAGAGTGTATGTCGAGCAATTAAAAATTCAACTTCGCAGCGTCAAGAAAAGTGGATCGATCGCAGAGTATCTCGTACATGTGAAACAAATCGTCGAGACCCTTGTTGCAATTGGATTGTCGTTATCAGTTGAAGATCACATAGACACAATCTTTGATGGTCTTGGTGAAAAATATGATGGGTTCATTACTTCGTGTATCACACGTATCGAAGCATACATTATTGCTGAGATTGAAGCTCTATATCTATTGATGCATCAAGAAGAATGTCTTGAGAGGCATAAGCAATGTGAGTTGTCCACTCTTCAAGCAAATGTTGCTCAGAATCAAAACAAGAAAGGTAATCTTGTGACCAATTGTGGACGTGGACGTGGTCAAAATCGTGGAAGAGGCAAATATGGCTGCTTAAATCAAAATAGCTTTGGTGGAGGTCGTGGACAACGAATTCAATGTCAATTGTGTGGAAAATTGGGACATTCTGCCTATAATTATTGGTCTCGTTTTGATGAAAATCTACCAGATCCTAATTCCACTCAGAACTACACATCTGATGCTACTATACAAGAACCTGTCAATCAATTGCTATGATAACAGCCTCCACAACTCAATCTTCTTTGGATGACACCTGGTACCCAGATACAAGTGCAACAAATCATTTTATTAATGATTTATCCAATCTAATGATCAAAACTCCTTATATAGGATAAGAGAAGTAGTAGTTGGTAATGGTAATTGCCTAAGTATTCATAATACTGACACTTCTAAACTCAAAAATCCTTTCGATAACATTGCTTTTACTCTTAATAAACTGTTACATGTGCCTGATATCATTAAAAATTTGTTAAGTGTTGCTAAATTTGCCAAAGAAAACTCATGTTTCATTGAATTTCATTCCATTGACTGTTTTGTTAAATCTTAGGGCTCTCGGAAGCTTCTGCTACAATGGAAGCTTAAAGATGGCATATATGCTTTTGAGAGTCTACAAATTGTTCATCCTAATAATGATTTTCCTATTTTAGCTTTATATTCCTTTACCACATGTAATAGTTTACAGATTTGGCACTCTAGGCTAGGCCATTGTGCAAACAAAATTGTTAAGCATGTCTTAAATCAGTGTACTATACCTATACCAATAAATGACAATGCTTCTATTTGTGGTTCTTGTTGCTTAGGAAAAATGCATAAATCTCTGTTTCTTATTTCTGAAATTGTTTATACTAAGCCATTGTAGTTAGTATATTATGATATTTGGGGACCATCACCCTTACCTTCAAAAGAAGGATACACTAGTGGAAAAAAGGCTTTTAAAATCGGTTATTTTGGACTTTTAAAATCGGTTATGGAACCGATCTTAAAAGAGCCGATTTTGAAAAGGTAGACTTTTAAGATCGGTTATCAACCGATTTTAAAAGTAGACTTTTAAGATCGGTTGATTTATAACCGATCTTAAAAGTCTTGACTTTTAAAATCGGTTGTTATATAACCGATTTTAAAAGTCTTGACTTTTAAGATCGGTTATGATTTTAACCGATCTTAAAAGTCAAGACTTTTAAAATCGGTTATGTAACAACCGATTTTAAAAGTCAAGTAGAAAGTTCTATCTTAAGAGGGTAGCTTACTTCAGACTGTGGACATGTTTGCCAATTTTAGCTGCTTGCACCATGCTTTGGGACTCATCTGATTTACTGCTCAAATTCTTTTTCTTAATGGAACTTGTTTTTGTTTTGAAGCTTCTAAAAGAGTTCCCAAGAGATCTGGTTTCTCTAAAGAGAGCACAAGTCATATGCTTCTACATGGGCCTGCCTGGTCTTTCTTTATCTCTTGTTCAACAGGTTCCTTTTTAATTCGTGAACATTTCTGTTTCATGTCTGCTATAATTGGTTTGTGGAAATAAATGTTTTTGACTTTTCTTTGCTTATAAAAGGTACATTTTTTTTAGTAAAATCTTTTTTGTATTTTGTAGATTGTTTAAAGAAGTTGCCAAAATGTTAATATAATAAATAATAGCTTTTTATTTTAATTACAATAATGGAGGAGTAAAATGTCTGCAACTCTCAGGCTCACTATATTGGAGAGTAGAAAAGTTGAGTGTTACTCAGAATTTACTTCCATGTTTTTTTTGTTTCCTTTGTTTGGTTTGTCGAGACTAGAGAAGTTAAGATGAGATTGGGATTTAGAAGCCTTTGGCAATTGGCAACCTAAACAAGATGCAACTGGCTTCTTTACATTATTTGTCAATTGAAGAACAGTTTGAGTGCCTCATACTTTTAAGTTTTACAGGTTCTACCTCAAAATGAAGGAGAAAATTACATATATGGCATGCTTGCTTTCCCTTTATTGGAGCTTGGACGAATGGAGGATGCTGAGAAAGCTGCCAGAAGGGGATTTGAAATCAATAAGCAAGACATCTGGGCACAGCATGCTGTAGGTCAATGTAAATTTTAAAAGTTGGAATTGGAATACTCAATCTACCTTAGAGTAGTACTTACTTATTACTATCTTTCAAGTTGTTTTTGTTAGTAATTGAGATTTTAATAAACCTCCACCTGTTCTTTTTGATTATATGCCTTAGAAGTTCCCTGTATTTCTTATGAGTCAAAAAAGGAAAGCAGTTATAGGCTTTTAGAAAAATCAATCAATTAACTGTTGATAGGATTCAGGGTATTATCTCGTGCTTTAGTTTTAGGCTTAATGAAATCATAATTTATGAATATATATTATTGTAAAATTTCAGAAATATGTTGTGACAAGAACTTTTAAAAAAATTAGGAACTACATGATTAATTAAATTTTGTTCTGCAGTTATGTCATGTTCTTCAGTATAATTGCTTTTTTAAAGAAGCTGTTAAGTTCGTGGAAGAATGTTCATCATCATGGGGTTCTTCTTCATCTTTTATGTAAGCATTTGATTAATTTAACCATGGCTTTGTCTAGCTTTCTGTTAGTAAGCTACGGAATTTTTTCATTCTTTCAGGTTGACACACAATTGGTGGCATGCAGCACTTTGTTATTTAGAAGGTAATGCTCCAAGGCAAAGAGTACTTGAGATATATGACAATTATATATGGAAGGAGCTAGACAAAAATGATTCTGTGACTGCAGAGGTATGTGATTTCATAAACTTTCTCCCTACCAGTAGTTTCTCATTTTCTTTCTCTTGTGATGAGTTATATAATCTCTCTAAATACAGGTTTACTTAAATGCTGCGGGTCTGCTTTTGCGGTTTTATGTACGTGGTGAATTGGATATTGTTGGTGATCGTCTCAAGATACTTGCAGAATGCTTAACTAATCAAGTAAGTTAAGACACAACCTACATGCTATTTGAAATGATAATAGTGTATGGCACTTCAATGTGCAACTGGAAATATTGATCTGAAATTTGAATTCTGTTACACTTCGGTTAAGTTGATACTTATCTGTGTTCTCTTCCAATGTATAAACTTAAACAGATTGGACATTAAACTGGTAAGTACTGCCAGTTCACAATTTAAACGAAAAAGAATAACAGAAAGAAAAAAAATTGCAAATTGAATGCTAAGCACCAAGTTACCAAATAAGAAAAATATATATATTTAACAATATCAAACTATTTTAAAGAAGATAATAGTGTATGGCACTTCAATGTGCAACTGGAAATATTGATCTGAAATTTGAATTCTGTTACACTTCGGTTAAGTTGATACTTATCTGTGTTCTCTTCCAATGTATAAACTTAAACAGATTGGACATTAAACTGGTAAGTACTGCCAGTTCACAATTTAAACGAAAAAGAATAACAGAAAGAAAAAAAATTGCAAATTGAATGCTAAGCACCAAGTTACCAAATAAGAAAAATATATATATTTAACAATATCAAACTATTTTAAAGAAGATAATAGTGTATGGCACTTCAATGTGCAACTGGAAATATTGATCTGAAATTTGAATTCTGTTACACTTCGGTTAAGTTGATACTTATCTGTGTTCTCTTCCAATGTATAAACTTAAACAGATTGGACATTAAACTGGTAAGTACTGCCAGTTCACAATTTAAACGAAAAAGAATAACAGAAAGAAAAAAAATTGCAAATTGAATGCTAAGCACCAAGTTACCAAATAAGAAAAATATATATATTTAACAATATCAAACTATTTTAAAGAAGATAAGAAGCGTTGAAGGGTAAAATCTCTAACTTTTTTTCTATATTGTTGGGATCCCACGAATCATCTCTAACTACTATATGATAAACTTAATCACAGCCATCGAAGTGTTAGAGAAGCAAATCAAGAAGAGAGATGGCGTCCCCTTCTTATGGCGTCTACTAGTACGTGGTGCTTTGTCCATAAGTATCTTAATTATGGTTTTAAAGAATAATCAAGCGGAGTTGACTTCTTACTAATTACAATTACTATTGCTTCATTTTTTATTTTATTTTTCAGGAGAGGGGATACAAACTAGCTAACAAGCCAGAAGAAGCAATCGCGAAGGAGAAGGCCACGGCTTTGGAGACTCGTTATTTTAATTGAGGGAAATGGAATAATCATAGAACCAAGTTCATCTTTAATATGTACCCGTTGTTACCAACGCAAAATCCAATCCTTCATTGGGTTGTAAAATTGCGGACAAAATAAATGTAACACAAATAAACGTTGCCTTCCGTTCCAGACTCCCTATGCATGGTCGTTGTTGTTTGTGCAGTTTCGCATAGATTAACGTTGTAGTGTAAACAAAAGTGGGTCGTGGTCGTGGTCATGGGCAAGCTGTCTAATATCGAAAACGCTAATCACGGAAAAGGTGCGGAGGAGGAGGAGTCATCTTTATGTTGACGTCGTCGTCAAAAAGGTTCTTGGAAGACTTTTACACCAATTTGACCAATACAGAAACTCCACCTCATTGTTCGTGAAAGCATTCCAATCAGCAACCCCTTTAAAAAATCAACCTCTTTACTTTATTCTACCACTCTTTTACATAACACAAAACCCTCCCTAGTTGATTATTTATTTCCTATAACAATAAAACTGTGTGTGATGATATTACATTTTATTTCTTGATGCATATTCGAAATTCTCTTGTATTCGAAATTCTCTTGTATTCGAAATTCTCTTGGGCTTACTTCTTAAAATATAGATCTCAAGCATTAAACTCTTTTATTGAATTTAAAAGATGGTAGAGTTACAATTTCAAAAGAAATTGAAAATTCTTCAAACAAATGCTGCAAAAGGATACCAAAGCTTCAGTTCTGTACTCAAAGAAAATGGCATAACTCATAGATTTAGCTGCCCTCACACACATGAGCTGAATGGTGCCCCTGAGAGGAAGCATCGCCACATTACAAAAACATGCCTCACTTTATTAATTGAATCTGGTTTGTCGTTTGATTATTGGTGCCATGCATTTGCTATTGCTACATTTGTTATAAATCACATTCCTACACTTGTTCTGAAAATAAAATCTCCATTTGAAACTTTATTCCATATGAAACCAGATTATAGTATATTCAAAAGTTTTGGATGTAGGTGTTATCCATATCTTAGACCTTATAATCAAATATAAAATGGATTACCGGTCTAAACCATGCATCTTTCTAGGTTATAGTAGTAATCATAAGGGTTATAACATGATTCAATAGGCAGAATTTATATTGTTAAGTATGTTATATTTGATGAATTTGATTTTCTTATTATACTTAGTAAAAGAAAAGAAGATTTGATTAGTCTCTATCATTAACTTTAGTTACTTTTGTTTAGTAATAACATAAATAAATTAATGAATAATATTAAGATAATTATGTCAATAAATTTTTAAAAAATAAGATAATTAAATTATTTTTAGATGCATAATTTAATTAAGTAATATATTCCCTATTTTATATAAATAAGGTAATTGCATATAATTTGATTATTTAAAATTTATGGAATTTATTATCTTCGGGTGAACTTTCCCCCTCCATTTTATATCTACTTAAACACTATTCCAATACAAATATTTATCTATAATAAGTGAGAACTAGTTTTAAATGTTATAATATAGAATTATTATTATTTTTTATATATAATGCAACTAAGTAAATATTTACGATCAATAGTTGTAGACTTTAATTATATAAATAAGTTAAAATGTTAAATATATACTTTTGATCTTTATAATTTACTTATTTTTTTCTTATGAAATTTTCTTTTAAAAATATTCATGAATTTTTGTTTTGTTTATATTTATTTTAAAATTTACTATTGGTTATTTAGTGTAAAGGGTGACATCATAAAATTTCACATCATCAAAATGCTTCATGTCATCGAAATTGTTATATTAATAGGGATTAAAAAAATATTATTGGTACTAAAAACAAACAAAAAAATATATAATTTATAGAGATAGTAAAAAAGTGACGTATTTATAGGACAAAAAGATTAGTAAGATTGGAGTACAAAAACTCATAAACTCTCTCTAAACCCACCAAATCCACCCAAATCATATTTCTTCTTTCCCCTAACCATCATTAAGGAATATTTATTGGAGTGTGTCTAACGGTTAAAAGAGTTCTCATAACTTTAAGATCAAGTTTTTTCATTTCTTCATCATTTTTCTTGTGCTCCGTGTATATGTATAGTTAAGTTTATCCTTGTTTGGATTTGATGTAACCATACCTATTCTCATGTTACATTCTAAGTTATTAATCCTAGTTATATATTGTTCAATATTATTGTTCTCTTCTTTGCTTAATGCTTATTATGATTTGATCTCCCTTAACTTGATTTTATGGGTTTAAAGTGATTGAAAAATGTTTGTGAACCATTGAACCGAAGAAGAGTAGCTAATGGTGTTTACATCTAGAAATGGAGTAAATATCAATCATTCGTAGAATCTTGTTCTTAAAGTCGAGTTCTTAGTTAAGTTATATAAAGAATTGATAACTTAGTCAAGAAACTTAGAGTCTAACTTGTAAGAAATTAAAGTTTGAATATATTTGTGAGTTGAATGATAATTTTTGAATATACAATTGAATTAAAGCGCTTATTTATAATAATGAGAAGATGGTTTGGTAAAGTAAAATCCCAACATATTTTATTATTGTGTTAAAATTAGTTTTTGCATTCTAAGTGTTCGTAAAAATACCAAAAAGATTTATTATCACATTTATCTTTTTTTATGCACTTTCTTTATTTCCGCAATCAATCAAAATTTTCATTCTTAAAAGTTTAGTTTAGTATAATTAGTGATTTGTGTCAACTATTGCATAAGTCCCTTAAAAGATGATACTCATATTTATCATTGAAATACTTGTATGAATTGGAACACTTGTCAAGAAGATAACATTGAGTTGAACTTGTTGTTAATGTGGTATTAAAGTTGGAAAATTTATTTGAAATATGAAAGGAACTTACTTTGTCTTTAAAAACATGGAAAATGGAATAAGGAGTAAGAGTGCTTTTTGTTAAAATTTCATTGAGTGACCTTTAAATTTGCTAAGCAAAAACTTGAAAATGAGAGATAAATTGAGCAAGGTTTTTGTTTATTGAATGAGATAGGAGCCTTAAAATGAGGATACTTCCTGTGCTTTTTTGTTGAGTGACATTAAATTATCTAAGTGAAGGAACCCTTAGGAGCAAAAATGTTCTCTATTAAATTCTCATTTGCCAAAAAAAAGCTTCAATTAGCAATGATTTGATTTATGGGGCATACATTGAATGAGATAACCTTTTGCTAAGCAAATCAAAACTAGGGAGTAAGAGATGTACCTCATTTTTGTGAAGCAAATGTAATTTTCAGGCAAAACTCTCTTCTTAGTACACTTATTTGCTTTATTGAGAAATGAATTATGCTAAATTTTATGAGTTTTACAAAATAAAATATTAACTAAAACATTTATTTATTTCATTGATGTTAAGTCAAAAGACAATTTTGGATCCCTCAAGCTTTCAAGTTTTAATGATAACAAATAGAACATTTTTATAATAGAAAATATTCTTGCAAAACACAAATCAGACGAAGTATAAAACAAAATGTTAGACAAACAATATGTCATCAGACGAAACATACAGTCTGATTTCATAAAGTCTTATATGAATAACATTTATAATGAATAATGACTACTTGTTGCATGTCTAAACTAATTCATTAACAAATCTAACTAAGAAAATTCATTGAAACTCACAAATTTGTTAAAGTGAATGAAGCCAGGCTTTGCACGAGAAAAAAGGACAAACAAATTCCTGAAATCATGGAGAAAGTTAGCAAAAGTCGATGCAGAACCTACTTCTTGTTGACACATGCCACATATAGTTGTTTGGTATCCTAAGGTTGATAAGTATCCTCCTTGATCAGATGGGAAGTGACAATTTGGTGAAACGTAATTAATGCAAGCATTTAATGCATCAGTGAACACTTTTCACCTCAAAGAACTTGTAACAAAGCAAGCTTGTGAGGAACCTTCAAGGTTTTGCAACTTTCATCTTCATTTGGGCTATTATATAAGAAGCTTCACAACCAAAAAGAAAGAGACTTCTTGATGAACCTTTGAAGAAATATTTTTAGAAGGGCTTTTCATCATTCTTTCTATAAAAGCTCTTTATACTTAAATTTTTGTATCACGTATTGATAGGAAGACGAAACAACTTGTAAATTAACCTTAATAACTCTATGTTATTAGGTTTGAGCCTAGAAGGACTTGTCTGATAAATAGTACTAATACGAACCTAGAGAGATTTGTCTATAAAAAAATACTTGTTTTAGTTTGGAGAGGTTTGTTTGTAAAAGAATACTTGTTGTTTGAGTTTGAATATAAAAGAATACTTGATATTTGAAGCCCGAAGTGACTTGTTGAAAGAATAATTGTATCTTGTTTAAGATAGTAAAACTCAATTTAGTTAGATTGAGACATACCAATATAAAAATATCATGTGTTTCGTTTACCTCTTCTTCAACACTCTTTACTATTAACATTACTACTTCATTACTTGAAAAAGTGTGAGCTTTTATTGACACTATTCAACCCCTTTCTAATGTCTATCTTTTCTCCATAATTGATATTTTTTATTTATTTATAAATGAGTGAGAAAAACTTGTTGAGATGAAAATGAGAGCCTATAGTTGGAATTCTAACAAACATGAGGGACTGCTAGATGTGTTCTTTATTGATAAGTTGAATGAATAAAGTTGGATGATATGTGATTATTGATGAGATGACACACACACACATGGATTCAGATAGTATTGTCATTCATGTTTGATTCGTAGTTGTGATTGTGTATGAGTAGGCACATAAGTTGTATTTTCTTGGTGGGGCTTCAACATAGTGTTGAATCACTTTGAACGAGCCTAAAGATAGGAAGGAAGGTTAGTCCCATATGAAGTCATGGTCATTGCAAACTAGACAACAATAAGCCCCTTCCCACAATTTTTTTAATTTTTTTTTTATTTTCAACAAAGGCATAATTCTTCCATAGGATCAATCATAGGACTCCTCCAATGGTCAAATATGAGTACCATGTTAAGGGATGTGTCTTTGTTGATCGCACAAAATGTTGAAAATCTCCTTAGAGTAGTGTCTACATGATATGACATGCATTTACATAAATGGATATTCTATTTGTGATGATTCAAGAGTTGCTATGTGTGTAAATATGCAAAAGATGATTTAAATTTGATTTTTAAGGTTTACTTGTTTATTTTCTTCTCACTTTAAGTTTTGTTTTAAAGTTATCTTACACTTGTTGTCTATTTCTTGACTATGATTAACATGTCTTTTGATATGTCAACAAATAGTACAATTACAAAAAAGCACATGTTCTCGATTGATGAGAGTCATACCCAAGGAGATGGTATAAGATAATCCTTCTTTGAGTGAAAGATGCTTATTTGGGAATTGAGACCCAATTTCTTGTTTTATTTATCTTTATTTGTGTTAGCAATGGCCAACCTTGGAGACACATATTTCAAGTTTTCTCATTTATTTACAATGTTTTAAAAATCAGACAAATCATCAAATCGATCTATATATTGCATCAATGGCTTGAGTTAGCAACTCTCGCATCACTACATTAGTAATACTGGTATTATTTGCTTAAATAAGCTCACCTATTTAGTAAATTCAAATATGGTCTAACCTAACCTACTTAAAGGCCTATAGGGGTGGAAATATGTCACGGGTTTGTCAAAAACCTTTGGAAACAATAATGGATGGTAGAATTATATTTTGTTTTCAAATTTCTTGCAATTTAACAATTGTTAGAATTTTATTGACAATTTTACTCTGCAATTTTGATTTTATATTACATGGTACAATCATTTTTTTTTGTTGCAATTTAACAACTATTATAATTTTTAGGGCAATTTTACACTGTAAATTCTATTTTGTAGTAGTATAAAAAGAATATGGATATAACATAGTTACATAACAACTAACAACAAAGATACAACATAAAATATTGCTCATATAATAATGACACATATACCTAAACATTTCATGTAATAAGATTAAAATGGTGCAAAAGTGCAAAAGGATTTAATGCATTATATATGTAAGTATTTTATGTAGCAAGATTAAAGTAATACCTTGAGTCAAATTAAATACTATTAAACTTTAATTAATCATTAAGTGGACAATGATGTTAAATATGAGGATCTCCAACATGTTATTAGATCTTTGCCTAATAATCTTGAAAGTGTTATCCATTACCAACTATTTTAAGCGTAAAAAAATGCGCTCAAGATAAATATACATTGTTCTAATAGTAACAATATACAAAAGATAAATATTGTACACAAAGAACTAAAATCAAACATATGTTAATTATTTAAAATTTATTAATAATTTACTTTTAAAATACAAAATAATTACTATTTTTATTTTATGTCACCGCGTACTTTAGTTTTGTTTAAGGACGATTTTTGTTTTTTGAAGATTACGTATGCTTATGTTGGAAGAGTTTAATTGACTGAAAAGGACTGTGATATGTTGTTTGAAATTTATTCCGTATTCTTTTTATAAAGCTTTTATTATTTATAAAGTATTTTAAACACCATAGCAAGAACAATACTTAATACTCGGTACATATTTATATTAAAAAATTACAAACTAAATACTTAATTACAAATCATTCTAACAAGTAAACTAAAAGGTTCCACGACTTTCTTGTTAGTTCATTTTCTATACCATTCTCTGGGATTCTGTGACAACTCCACATGTTTCATAAAGTGATTAGAAATGCACTCAGAAAAGGAATCTCAAAATCATCTGCATTCTGCATTTCAAAGTTCAAAATATGCAGACTGTATCAGATCGTATGAAACGGGTGGAATTATATATGTTATCTAAATCATGGGATAATATTAAAAAAAAAAAAACACAATAAACTTTGCTCGTGAACAATTTAAAATAAGGAATTTGTTTGCAACTAAGCACTTGCATTTGGTCATACTAACCTTATGCGAAAATTCGCATTTGTTGATCACTGTTCTGTAATTTAAAAATATAACCGTGTCTGTCACGCATAAGATATGGCAATACAATATTATTCTTACGCAGAAAATAAGGAAATCACAAATACTCATGAATCCGGTAAGAAGGAAACTGGAATTGTTTAAAGCAAGTTTGGTTACCCTCGTGCGGCACATGAGGAAATTAAAATAATTGTATATTTAACAATAAATAATTAAAAGTTTATATAATTGAATATAAAATGTTTACCTAAATTATTGTATATATCACTGTTCACATTAAGTAATGGTTTTCAAGTGAAAATTGCATAAAACTTTGAGTTTGATGCTTATATATGGTCGGCTTAGATTTCACACTTGTAATAAATTAAAAATCAGTTTATATATATATATATATATATATATATGATGGTTGGTTTTTTATAATGTTATTACACAAACATACTCTACAATGATGAGATATTGTCTGCTTTGGGCCTAAATCTTCACGGTTTTATTTTCGGACATTACCTAAAAGGTTTCTCAATCATTGAAGTATGTTTATGTATATAAATTGTTATTTCTTGTTTTATTTTATTGTTTGTATCCCAACAATCCTCCCCTCAAACAAAGGACCTAACCTTTCATGCAGCGGAATCTGTCTTTATATAACACATTAATATGCTATGAGTTATGAGGAGTTATAGGGTTATTGGTTGTCACCTAATCTAACCTGCGGCTCTGATATCAGAGATGTGTTTTTTTATAATGTTATTACACAAACATACTCTATAATGATGAGATATGATTATTTTTTTATAATGTTATTACACAAACATACTCTACAATGATGAGATATTGTCTTTATATAGCACATTAATATGTTATGAGTTATGAGGAGTTATATGGTTATTGGTTGTCATCTAATCCAACACATTAATATGTTATGAGTTATGATGAGTTATAGGATTATTGGTTGTCACCTAATCCAACATGCGGCTGATTGTTTTTTTATAATGTTATTACACAAACATACTCTACAATGATGAGATATTGTCCGCTTTGAGCCTAAGTCCTCACGGTTTTACTTTTAGACATTAAACTTTAATATGTTATGAGTTGTGTATGCTTTCTTCCTTTGACATTACCCAAAAAGCCTCTCAATCATTGAAGTATGTTTATATTATATAAATTATTATTTCTTATTATATTTTATCAATGTGAGATTTATTTGTATCCCAACAATATATATATATATATATATATATATATGTATTCAACAGTATTAAGTTCGGTCTAATGACGAAGAGGTAAAATAATAATTACAAAATTATAAATTCAACTATATTGTTAGCCTGGAAAGTTAATAAACTAACCATTATTTATCTGGATGATATTTTATTTCATTTCAAGTCCACAAGAAGTCTACTACATAGACATAACTCAGGTTGCTAAAGTAGTTTTCTCACAACCATCGTGCACACAGGCCAAAACATCTCTGTAGTCTCTTGAAATGGTGAAGGAGTCATAGACATTTCCATCACTACTTTTCTTGTACTCAAACAAGAGATATGAATGATTGAATGCAGTGAGTTTGCCGAACCCATAATCACGGTCTCTGTATAGACTCCAAATGGGGGGTGCTGAGGTGAAGTCTGACAAGTGACTTCCCCCTCCACCAACAACAATATGGATTGTTCCATTCACAGTGCCTGAGTAATGATGCTTTTCTGAATTCACACATTGATTCTGCATCACATGCATTTAGATAATTACAAAAATCAATGTCGTAAAATTGAAATGAGAAACTGTATTAGTCTATTTGGATATATACACTTCTTCCAAAACACTATTACAAAGTAAAATATAAAAGAAAAGTAAAATAATTTTTTTCATAAATTAAAATTAACTTATACACAAGTTAATTTTTAGAAATTCTTCTACCAAAACTTATTTTTAACTTATATATGTTAGTTTTTTCACATGCATATTAACTTTATTCAATTTTTATAATTTTTTCAAGATTTAAATACTTTATCAATATATATCTCTAGCTAATAAGTTTCATTGAAATATCCAAGAATATCAAGATTTTGAATACTTCATTAATATGTATCAGTAAAGTATGTGAATATCGATATCAGATATGTATCAAATGCGGATGTGTGAAATTTTTTTGAAAGTATTGATGTTTTATAAGCTAGCCACCATACATTATACATACCTGATAAATGGGACATATTCTTTCATAGTTATGGACGTGACCATAAAATGCAATGTCTACTTTGTACTTTTGCCAAAGCTTCTGCAGACTTTCTCTTCCCATAGGCTCTTCAAACGAGCCCTCCATGCCATACCAAAGATTAGAGGAGTACCCTAGGGGGCGATGAGCTGAAAAGATTAGCCATGGTTGATGCTTTCTATCTACTGTTGCAAGACAATGCTCAATGAATTTGTACTGTTCTGATCCTTCTCTCCAGTCATGCTCACTATCTGCTATGCAGAAACGAAACAGGCCATAATCTGCTTTATACCTGCATATTTCCATTTTTCATCATTTATTGGAGTTTACATCTTAATTACTAGTAGAAAAAAAATGTTTTATTGGAAAAAACTAGAAATTGCATTATGAACTTTATGAAGTTAAAAAATTACTGAATACGTAACAATTGGTGAAGTTAATATTCACAATGTTGGACAATGAGAAATGCCAAATTTAAATAATAGAAAAAAATCTGATTTAGAGTCTGTTTAAATTCAAAATAAAAATGCCTTTAAGAAATTTTTTATTGAAACAAACTCTTTACTTTTAATAGAGAAACTTTCATAAATTCTCTGAAGTTTGTATCCAAACATACTATTATCACTGTAGTTTGAATTTAGATTAATATGTAACATACCAGAATTTGGCTCTATTCTCAGCAGCAGGAAAATAATACATGGTTTCTGCTGGAACTCCACATTCTCCACCTGAATCTGGAGTATCATAAAAAGATCCAGTGTTTGGCCAATCACGTTCATGATTTCCACTGCAATATATATGAATTAACCAGATATTTTCAGTCTAATAAGAAGATTTATATTTTGATATATAGATGTCAATGGCATAAAATGATTGCAATGAAACAAACCTTGCAATCATGTATGGTACAGTTGACGAAATTTTTTGCACTTGAGCTGTGAACTGGTCCCACTGTGAGACGTATCCATTTGCATAAGGCATATCACCTATGTGGAAAACAATGTCATAGTTGTCCAAATCCTTGATGAGTTGGTCAGTGGTGTTGAGTGAACCAGGTTGATAATCAGCATATTCATTTGAACCATCACGTTCAGCCTAAAGTTCATGCAAACAAAAATAGTTTTATGATTTTTCCCCCCATTTTATTAATCATGCTTAAAATTAGACTATTAGAGTTTTCAACTTTTCATTGAATATTTTATTTGTGAATACTACCTTTCCCATGTCACCAAATATGACAACACGTTGCAAAGAGTTCTGTCCAGGATAAGGGGATGCCTTAAACGAATAAGTCTTACTCCATACGTAAGAACCATCAGAAAGCAACATATGCCCCAATCTGTAAGTGTACCTGAGAAAGGAAGCAAAACAGAAACCTCCAGATTTCAGAACAAAATGTAGTAACTAATCATATAGTGTTATACACATAAAGGGTTGGTTACATGCATACCTAAAATTTGGCCAAAGTTCTTTTAGGAAACTTGTGTGTATAAAACCAGGGTCACGCCAGCCAACAGTTCGTGCAGGTTCACCTTTAGAATAACAAAATATATATCCTCATTGTGTTGCACATTTAAACAAGCCAATCTAGCTAGTTCAATTAATCTTAATAAGGTCATGTAAATATTTCATACCACACATGCTGTTACGATTAAATGTCAATGTTCCAGCAGGAGATCGTGTTTGCTTTCCTCCCTTAGTACCCCATTCAACAAAAGGCACAGCTTCATCTATGTCATACCCACTTGTCCATGTAACTGTCATCTGTATTAGATAAAAATTCACTTAAAATTGTTTTACGTTATTAAGTTAGAGTTAGAGTTAGACATATGAATATGATACAACAATTTCATAATAGTGGTTAGAATGTAAAACCATATATAGAGTCAATTCCCATAACAAGAACTTCAGAATGGTTAGTAAAAGTTAAAACCTTAGCATCAATTCCAATTATGTAATGTCACCACAAGTTTAAACTTTCACAAATGGTCTGAATATTAGGATAATTTTAACTTGTGGTTAATACAATTAAATGGACAAACATAAAACTAAAAGGGTATCAAACAAGTATATAAACTTAATTACTTCATCCCAAGACTTTCCCAAAGCAAGGCGCGGATACACAGGTGCTTTAGGGTTTGCAAATGATATGGAATTGGAAACTGCCACAAGTCTAGGCTGCAATGCTCAATCAGATAAATATTAGTCAGCATAGGATGGAATAATTTGTTCTGAATGAAAACAAGCACTTTAATTTTCATGCTAAGAAAAGTAGTGTATGATACTATATTTTAAAGGATAAAATATTCACTTGATCCGTTTCATTGTTCTCATTTTAATATTTTGTCCCCGTATATAAGAAAAAGTTAAGTTGTATGTGGTCCTTGTTGTTAAAACTAGAAAATACTTATTATACGAACGAGTGCTGCGATAATTTTTTTTAAAAAAAAAACTTATTATAGGACCGAGTGAATAGTTTAACCATTCTTTAAAAAATATTAAGGCAAAAGAACACTGGTTTAGTATTTTAGAGAGATAGCTTACATCTGACAATCCTCCTGAAAATAGGGCAAAGGAGAAATCTGCACGTTGATTAATCAACTGGAACTTCAAAGTAGTTTTCCCGGTCTTTGCATAATTTGGATTAGAGTGGTTGGCATACTTGTACTAATACAAAGATTCAAATTAATAATTAATTTAATACACCATTAATTGTACTAAGTCTATATATATATATAATTAGTAAAACCCATATATATACTTACTTTTATTGGGGCTGAGCATATGTATGGTTCCTCTACCCAGCCAACGCCGCCAGTGTATGGACATGTTGATGAACTGTGTTGAAAAACATATATATTTCACTTTAGCTTCTTTCAACAACCAACACTTTTCGTTTTATCTTCAATTCATTAAGCACTACGCGCTTTATTCAATTACAAATTATATTTTACCACACATTTCATTTCTTTCTATGATAATAATTATCAATAATATTTATTTTTTAAACTAAGTTGCCCTGTTGACTTAGGATCCTAAATCTGTCACTGGTGTGTGAGTTAGTTTCATAAACTCAATTAAACTTGATGTAAAACTCTTGCAAGTTCCAAACGACTCTTAAGCAGAGTGTGAGACTTGCATAATATTTAGCATGGTGTACATGAAATATACTTTATAACAAGGTATATTTTAAAGAGTATGAATTAATTATGTGTTGTATGCTAATATTTTCCATGCATATATTAAATATGTATTAGTTGTGTTATTGCGAGAAAGATTACTTGAAGTTTGCTGGAGAGAAAACTCCGACCCAGTCATCTACAGATGGGTGTGGGGACTCTAGCTCAACAGTTACCCATTCTGTATCATCACCCTGCAATCATATATATGATATATCCAACCAAAATTGTAAATTCTATAAATCAAATGCTCATGCTAAAGCATGCATACACGTGCTTCTGTAATCTATATGATTAACAAAGACATGGTGAATGGCCAAAAATGTGAGATGATAATTTCACAACGGACCACACGTGCATAATATTAACACTGTGTTTGGTTGTAAAATTGTAATGGATAAAAAATTATGGTGGATAAAATTGATTTAAGGGGGAAGAGAAAACTTTTGACTCTTCTAATATAGGTAAAATTGATTATGGATCTGAGACTCGTAAATTTTGTTTTATTTACGCTCTAAAAATTATTTTATTTTACCAACCAAACAATTAAATCAATCCTCCTCGGTTCACTTTTAAAATATGATACCCAAATATAAATTAATTCTTTCAAAATTAATTTGGCTATACTGTTTTATTTCTTATTTTTTATTTTATCAAAATTCATTCAAACACCGTAAAATCCTTGATTTTGTTGATTTTTTTTACTGCTTTCTTAAAGTTTTTTATATGGTCAATTTTTTTTAATATATAATTAAGAGATATAATTTTCTTCTACGAAATCAGATTAAGAGATAAAATAACCTTTCTAATCATAATTTTATATCAAGATGAGAATTGGATTCCGATCTTAATTAAAACAACCTTTCTAATCATGATTGTATATCAAGATGAGAATTTGATTATGATCTTTAATTAAAAAATATAAAATAAAAAACCATGGCCACATATATAAATTAAAAACTTTCTGTACATACTTAATCATTTTTTAATTGAATCTATATAATAAGAAGACAAAATTATAATAAAATAATCTACTCGATAAGATTGTCTATTGATAGATAATCTTATCTTAACTGTTGAGTAGATTATATGTAATCGTGATAAAATTAGAATAAACCTTTAATTAAGTCCATCACGTAAGTCATCTAAAAATTTAAATAACCAGACTATTATTTTAAACATTTTTTCCTACTTTAACCATTAAAATATTTTATTACGTACATAAATTAATCACAAAATAGCTTAAATTTATAATCAGATTAGTTCTTCAAAAAAAAAATAAATATATATATATATATAAAGTTGCGGCAGAAAAATACTTGAAAGATTAATTTGTTCGCAAATTCAATTTTTAAGGAATTAATTTAAGTTGTGTATACTATATAGCAACTTGTTTAAAATTAATTAACATCTCTACAAACTATTCAAAACTTCCGCTGTTAGACTGACTTTGGCTAGTATCTTTTTGAGGGTTAAAAAGCAGCTACAAAAATGAATTTTAGAGAAGTTAATTTAGTGAGTAAAATTTTTAGAAAACTATTTTGGTGAGATGTAATTTTAAAGAATTTATCTGAAATCTATATAAATGTGAAATGACATGTGAAACTGTGCGTAAAATTTTCAACTTGGGTTATCAGTTATAATCTTATACTTGTTTCCAACCATTTCATTGAGAAACGAAAGGAACATTCAGACACTTCCGAGTTCCAACCAACACTCGTAGTGTGTTTGGATTCTGGATTTCTGTGCACTTCTTTTATATTTTTTTTTATATTATTATCAGTATAAAATATTTGTTGATGATTCATTTTATTGAAAAATCTAATTAATCACTTGTAGTATTACAAATTTATAATCATGTTTTTCCCATATCTTTACGAGTATTTTTTTTTTCATTTTTCTTAATAAGTTGTCTAAAAATTATATATTTCTGTTTATGATCTCCGGTGAATATATCAATATTATAGTTAAGAAAAAATTATATTTTTGCTCATTCACAAAATTTGAAGATTTTATTTGAAAGAACAAAATCTTATGACTCAAACTAATGACTTGTAAATATTGGATTCTAATGCAACATGCAGATAAGAGAAGTGTGATATGTACCTTAATGCCGAGCACATAGGGGATTGCTGTAATGGAAGCTGAACTGTGGAGAGCCAAAACAGTCTTGTGGATGGCTATCTTGGCCAGTGGCTGCTCTCCAAAGTTGATGTGATTATGACCAAAAACGATGCTCAAATTGGTGAACCACAGAATCAGCAAAATCATACTGAACCAATTTCCAATAGCCCCTTTCATTTTCATCTTTGATGAGGGAGAAATTAAAAAAAAAAAAAAAAAAAACAAGTTATCTCACTCATTGGATGGTGAGAACCATTGGAGTTCCAGTTGAGTACTATTATACCCTTTAGTACTCGTTCAGTGTTCTTGATTTTAATATTTATAGGTATAAAGCATGTTGGGACACAAATATCAACATCGGCAGGTTTGTTAGATATGGTTCTTTTTTAATAATTTTCCTTACTTGCATGGTCATATTCTCTAACCCCAGTTAAGAGTTTTATCACGGATAATATGTATAAATGTATATTATTAAAATTTATATTAAATATAATTGTATAATATTAAGTAAAATTCTAACTTTAATTATTAGAAAACAATTCTAACTATACATAAGATACTGTATCTAGTTTTTGTCCTTAAATATAATGTGATCTCTGCAGTTTTATTAGTTTTTATAATTAAAAATCTTTAATTTTAGTTTTTATATATTTTTATATATTTTTTATTTCCATAATGTGCCAATTATTACACAAACTAAATTATAAAATATACGAAACTATATTAATTAAAAAAAATAACATGTATAAAAATTAAAACAAAATATTTTTAATTATAAAAATTAAAAGTAAAACTTATAAAATTATATGAGCCAATAAGGTATTTAATTTAATGTTTTTATTTTTTAAGAAAAAGAGTGATTCGAATTTTTTTAATAATAACTCGATATCAGAAAAGTTTACAACAATTTAAACATCATATTTAACCAATGGCAATCAAATGCACAAGAGCTGGACCAATTAAATTAAACTAAAGAAAAAATAAAATAATCTCCCACCATGCATGGTGATAACATCGATACTTACTATATGAGAGAGCTTGAGGATTACTTTTGTTTTATACTATAAGTATATTTGAATAAATTTCTTGAGAAAAAAAAGTGAAAATCATCTTTTTTATAAATTAAAACTAGTTCATACATAAAATAAAAATAAAATTAAAAAATAATAATAGAAGAAAGATTCAATAAATTAATATATACATATGTTAATTTAACTTATGAAAAAATTCATTTTATTTTTCTCTTTATTTTTTTCATAAAAATACTTGAACAAATTTATCCAAACATACCTCGTAAATATATAATAATAGATCTATATAACATTCAAAGGATTTGTCATGCTTATGATACATAGTACGACATTTATTAGCATGAAAAAACCCATAAAGCCATCTGCTAGAACAATTACGGATAATCTTGCAAAGAGTAGTTAAATAGAATACTAGATATTTTTATATTGGATTATCTCAACTACTGAGACTGCATTTAATTCTCAATCTAACCAAATTGGGTTCAAAGATATAAGTATTCTTTCCATAAGCTATTTCTGACTCAACCCTAAATATTCTTTGACTTACGTCTTCAAATAATTACACAAGTATTCTTTTAATAATAAGTCTCTCTAGACTTAACGATCAAGTATTTTTTTTAACAAGTCTCTCTTTAGACTTAATAACCAAGTATTCTTTTACAAACAAGTCTCTCTAAGTTCAAAATTAGTATTCTTTTATAGACAAGTCTCTTTAGGTTCAACCTTATAACAATGGTTGTGAGTTACATAGATATTGCGTTCATCTCACTTAGAAGTTATATAATCAATATAAAGTAGTAAGCTTTTTACAGGAAATAATAAGTATAATTCATAAATAGTGTTTCTTTCTATATAAGTTTTTTCTCTGTATGGTGTATCTTTTCTTTTTTGAGCTTTAAATCTTATTATATAGTAGTTTAGAGAAGATCACTACTAGAAAGTGACTGTTCAACATCGTCAATTCTACATCGGTTTAGGTAGAACCGATGTAAAAATTGGATGTAAAGCAAATTTACATCGGTTATATATGTACAAAAGCGATGTAATTATTGAACATTTTACATCATTTTTAATTGGATCGATGTAAATTTAAATGCGCGGTAGCAATTTTGTAAATATTTACAAGTAGATCTACATCGATTTTCAAAATAACCGATGTAGTATAGAACCCCGTGAAACCAAAACCCTAGTCTTCTCCCTTTCCTTCCTCAACCAGCAACTTCAAAAACAAAACACAGATCCTTTGCGGCGCCACCCACGGCTTCCAAGCTCTACAACTCTTGCAAATCCGCCACCGCCACCTTGTATTGCTGCCCTGACACCGCCTTCCTCTACGGTGCCTGCGACTCCAAGGTCCACACCGCTAACAAGCTCGCCTCGCGTCACCCGCACGTCATGCTCTGCGAGGTCTGCGAGCAGGCTCTAGCGCACGTCACCTGCACGGCCGACGCTGCCGCGCTCTACCTCGCCTGCGACCGCGACATCCACTCCACCAACCCCTTCGCCAGCCGCCACGAGCGCCTCCCGGTCGGCGGTCACTCCATTCTTTGAGTCCGTACACTCCGTCAATGACTCCTCGCCGATCAACTTCCTTGACGAGCACTGCTTCTTCTCCGATGCCGATGCTTTCGGGTACCCTTTTCCTCCCTTTCCATCACCTAGTTTTTCTTCTACGCAATATGTAGCTTTTTTTGCTGCATCGATAATGGACACCACGTGTTTGTTGAAATGCTCCACCGATGTTTGCTTACTTTTGTGACTTGGGTTTACTCTGAATTTTGGAAAATGGTGTCTTTTTTTTGCAGGTATACGAAGATGGGGTTTTCTGGTAATGTTGAGCCATGTTTTATTGTTCCGACAGTGGTTGCACTTAATGAGTCGTTTCTGAATCAATCTAGGAGCTCTTCTAAAGGCAATTGGGTTGCCCAACACAATGTTGGGGTTATGGCGGATCTTGATTTCTTCATTGGGGATGACACACTTTCCAAGTCTCAATTGGGTTTCCGATTCGGCATGGTCAGGTTGAGAATTGGGATTCCATGGAGCACTTCTAGCAGCAGTGCATATAGATTTACATCGGTTATAATAAGAATTGATGTAAAATTGTATACATTTACTACGTCACTCTCTTCTACATCGATTTTAGAACCGATGTAGATGATGTTAAAGAACCGATGTAGATAATGTGTCTTGTAGTAGTGGATGATCGTTGCAACACTTTCAGTTCAACTCACAAGTTTGTTTCATTTGTCTTCATCATTTTTTTCTTGTGATGGAAGATAATTGTTTCATTTAATGCAAGTATTAAATACATTTTACCAAATGATATCTCTTATCTAATCAAGGATACTACTTATAAACTTTTCATACCAAACGGAGTCTATAAAAGCAATGTCAGTGTAGAGTAGTTGTAGTAGTGACTTTATCTGCTTTTCTCCATGATTTCAGGGATTGTAATTATGACGAAGAGCATGCTTTTTTTTTTTCTCTTTAACAAATTTTAAGTCCCAAGATGACTTTTTGCTTCAATTTGTTAAGGAATGAAACATTCAATACAAATTTTGTCATTAGTCTCAATAATAAATATTTAATGCATATGAGCCAGATTGTATGTTTCGTTTGATTTACATCATTTTACAAGCAATCTACGTCTTACACTTCGTTTGATAATATTCAAAGATATTTTTGAAGACATTTTCTCCTATAAAAATATTTTGTTTATGAACATTAAAACTCCAAAGCTTGAGGGATCCAAGATCATATTTTGACTTAACAAACACTACTGATCTTCATATACCCCTCATTAAAGGATCAAAACTTCCATCAACATTTAATTTTACAAACTAGTTTGTTTGACGAGACTAGGAGAGCGTACCTACCTTTTGATGGAAGGTCTTGCTGAGGTATATGAGTTCAATCGGAGAAGAAAGAATGTAACATATGAAAACTAGTAAATTCTATTTGTCATCCGTGAAGATAAAGTTATTTCTCCAATGTCAGGCCCACCACATGACCACTATAATCCTTGTGGATCTCATGTGTCTCATAATATTATTAAACCAAGGGAAGGATGTTGTTGGCGTCAAAACATTTCCATAAGAGATACCTAACATATGTTCCATAATTCTTGTGAATGTAGACAATCTCTTAAAACATGTAGAGTGTTTTCGGTTGTGGTTGAGCAACGAAGACAAGATGTCGAGTTAGAAAGGTGGCAAGCTTGTCTCTTGTTGTTCATTGGTAGGGCATCATTGAGTACTAGCCAACAAAACATCCTCATTTTCTTGAGCAAGAGAAGTTGCCAAATTTTCTTCCATATGGGATGAGGGTAAGGACCTGTATCTCCTTGCAACCAATTGTAAGTTGAAGCGGTTGTGTAGTTACCAGATGCATGTTTGTTCTCACTGAAGGTGTCATTCCCAAAAGGTGTACAAGGGATGTTAATATTAAGGATCTTTCCTTTGATGTCAAGCGATATATTTGTTCTTAGGTTGTTTATACACCAAACTTTATCTTGTCAAATGTTTGCAACCAGTGACGGATCCAGATAATTTATTAAGGGGGAGCAATAAAATATTCTGTATTATTTTTATTAAAAAAATGTAATAATTTCTTTGAAAAATATATTTTTATGATAAAAAATTTAAAATACTTATTTTAATAAATTAAATTGTCTTATAAATAAAGTGATCATTTTTGTTTTTTTTATCTGAGATTATATTTAAGTATCACATTATAATTTTTATGACTTATTAGGAATAAAATAGTAAAAATTAATAGGATAAACATAATAAAGTTATCAATTTATTTTCTTTAAGTATTTTCTAAATTTCTACATTCATTTAAAAAATAAATATTTTATGAGTGCAATGTCTACTTTTTTTTTATAAGAGTAAATGTCTTTATTTAAATTTGTTGAAGTTAAAAAAAATTATGTGACAATTACTCTCGTTCCTCTTAATGTAGATCCTCTCCTACCAATACAATATACATAAACATGATCAAAGGGTTAAAAAATAAAATAAAAATTGGAAAATAACCTACATTAATAAACTAAATTATGACACATTTAATGAGTAAATAAGTAATAAATATTTTAGTCAAAAAAATATAGTATATTATAATAACAAAAATAAGAAGGGATTGATAGATTTACTCCACTAAATAATTCATGTTCTTACATCAAGTATTCATCCGATCAATTAAAAGTCTTTAATGTATAGATCAAATTTATAAAATTTAAAAAAAATAAAAAATTATTTGATACTCCATTTCATTAATTTAAATTGATGGATAATTATAAAAAATATTTTATATGTTATGTTGAAACTATCTAATGAAGTAATATATATTTTTCAATTTTTTTTAAATCTGTAAACTTAATCTATATATTAAAAATTTTTAATATCACAATTGAATTTTTAAAAAATTTGATATAGAAAATTAGTTATTGAATAGAGTAGATATATAAAAACTTACTTTTAGAGTAAGTAAATTTTTTCCTCATAAAAAATTAAGATAATTTTATTATAAAGTGAAAGTAATTAAATAATAAAATAAAATATTAATATAGTTTATTATATTAGATATAGTAGGGTAATTAAAATATATTTAATAATATATATTTTATAAAAATAATTAATATTTTATATAAAAAAGAAAATGAATAAAATTTTAGTGGGGGCAACTGCCCCCACAATTGTGAACGTGGATCCGTCGTTATTGTTGAGTGTCTGAAATATGAACATACTAAATAGCCTTGTATAGAGGACCAATACCAAGCCAATTATCATAAAAGAGATAGGAGTTTCCCAACCCATGTTTAGGTTCAAACCCTAGTGTCTAAGATATGAACATACTAAATAGCCTTGTATAGAGGACCAATACCAAGCCAATCATCATAAAAGAGATAGGAGTTTCCCAACCCATGTTTAGGTTCAAACCCTAGATATAAGGTGGGCACAACCTTCACAATACTATGCCTAAAGCTGTCAATTTGATTTTGGTCTGATGAACTGCCCGATCAGCTCGAAAATAAAATAAGGTCATTTTGGCTTAGTCTACTAAACTCAACGGTCGAAAGAGCTCAAGTTGGACTAGCTCATTGTGAACACCATATTTTATCCTTTTTTTTCTTATTGTTTTATTAACTTGTAATATTACATAACCACATTTTACCTTTATTATTATTATTATTATTTATTTGTTATCCTTTTTCACAAATTATTTATTTTATTTTGTATATTTATTTACTTCTAGTTTTACACATTTTAAACATTCAAGATGGCTAAAATTGCATGTAAGTATCACCAAAAAGAAAAAAAAAGGACATGAAGGGACTTTGATTGAAAGAAAGGAATTTGTGACGTTTGACACCTCAAATTCTTGAATATTGTTCTCTAATAGTGACTTGCACGCAACATTCAATTTCTCTATTAATCCAATACATAAAATATTGAATCAATTTTAGATAACTTAAAACAATGAGACAGATGTTTTTGGATATATAAATAAGTCAGAGAAAGATAGCTTATGGGAGTTGGAAAATAAAATTTGGAGAAAAGAGTCGTGACTCTGCTAAAAAAAGTCATAATATATACTTGTGTGATTGTTGGACTTTGAGAGATATTTTTTTTTTTACTATTGCACTGTGTAAATAATTTTCTTTACTCTTTGTTTCGGCATTATGTTGCACAACTTGTTGTATGTTTGTCTCGTATCTTTGCTTATTTTTCTGTTGAATCTATATTGTACTTAAATTTAAAACTATTGCAAGAAAAACAAAAGTAAGCTCGTCGCTTCCTTTTTCATATCTTTCTCATCTCACTCTCTCACAATTTCCTCATTGATGTGTGTACTAACCTAGCTTAAGGCCGAACTCAACCGAGTTCATTAGACAATTTTGATCGAGGTGACCATTTAGTCAAACTAAAGTAAATATATGAAACGCTGAGGTGTGACATCGGAGAAGGGAGATTGGTAATACACCTCGGCATATCAATGACATCGAATATGGCTCAATCCCCGATAACCCTCAGAAGATAACCAAACAACAGTTACACGGTTACTCAAGAACGACCACAGGTAATAATATAAGCAATACATGAGATAAGACATATAATTGACTTGATCTTCGGAGTCCTTTTTGCAGGTACATCCGAGACGCTCGAGCAAGGAGACCAAGGAGAAGGAATTCACCTTAGTGACCGATCTCATTCGACCTTGGCTGAATCGAACAAGGAAGACGAATTATCCGAGTTAGGGATCCGACCTGATTCGTGTAAGTACATGTGGCGCTAGAAGGAGGGCCTGGTAAAACTTTTCCTCCTTCACCCTTATGGTTTCAACCCGGAGCCTGACCAACACATCGACGAGTACATCACACAAAAATGCATCAAACATGGAAGACAATCCAATTCTACGACGGTTACTCGAGCAAATTGAATTGATGCGACAACAACATGCAGAAGCAATGGAAAATCTTTGTAAGCAACACGAAGCTGATATCCAACAAATGCGTGCTGAGCATGCTGCTTTTAGAACTCAATGGCAACAACATCAACCACCCCGTACACATCATGCCAGTCATGTTTCCCCTGCCACCGAGGAGCATCATTCTTCCCCAGATCCTACCTATCTATCAAACCCAACTCGGACTCATCGTTCCGAAAATACCCATATTAGTCGCCCAGTTGACAATCACCATACGGTTCGCCGACACCCCTTCGTTGATGGAATTATGGAAGTTCCTCTTCCGCCCGCCTGGAAACCATTAAACATTGAGCGATATGATGGCACCACAGACCCAGATGAGCACATTGATGCGTATATCACTCAAATAAACTTCTACACAAACGATGACGCCATCATCTGCCGTGTATTTCCCACCTCACTCAAAGGCACTGCCCTCAGTTGGTACACCCAACTACCACCCAGATCAGTTGACAACTTCAACACTTTAATGCGCCTTTTCTCCGCCCAGTATGCCACCAGTAGACCCCATCATATCGCATCGGTCGCGCTTTCCAATTTGCGACAATAGGATGATGAGTCTTTAAGGCATTTTATGGAACGTTTTGCCAACGTTTCTATAAAAATCCGCAATCTTAATCCTGAAGTTTCTCTCCACTCCATGCTTATGGCACTCAAACTCGGCCCTTTTGTTGATAGTCTTTGCTGACATCAACCGGCAAGCATGGATGAACTCCGAGCACGTGCCACTGGGTATATTCAAATGGAGGAACACGCCGAGTTCCGTAACTCTGTCCGAGACAGTTTCACCACCAAGGGCGAGTCTAACACCAGGAAGAGGTCAAAGACTCATATTGACCAGAGATCAAAAAGACCTCGTTAATCACGAGGTCCCAGGTATGAATTCTACACACCTCTTAATGCTCCTCGGGTTAACATTTTGGAGGAAGCTAACCATGCAGATTTGATCTCTCTACCCCCACCGGCACACAACCTGGTCAACGCTGATAAGAGCAAGCATTGCCGTTATCACAGAAATAACGGACATACAACAGAGGAATGTTGGAGTCTTAAAGATTGAATTGAAGAACTTATTCAAGCTGGCCAACTTGGACAATACATCCAACGCGGCCAAGCTTCTCGTGGGGGCTTCCGAGGACGTGGCAGAGGACGTGGCCGATTTCCTGGCCGATATCAAGGACGATATTAGAATTATCAAGGACGATCTGAGCAAAGCAATTATCATCAAACAAATGCACGTGAAGAGAGAAAACCAAGCACAAACAGTGCAGATCCGCAACATATGGATAAATCCTCTGAAGGAAACAACATACGCGGTGTCATCAACACTATTGCTGGTGGGTTTGTCGGAGGAGGAAGTTCCAATTCAGCCAGAAAATGACATCTACGCATTGTCCAAAATGTCAACCATTGCCATAACTCGGAATCTAAGCCAGAAACACCTACTCCTCCCATCATTTTCACAGATGATGACTACGAAGGTATCAGCTTGAACCAAGATGACCCAATGGTCATCTCGGTCGAGGTAGTCAATTGGGAGGTCCAAAAAACCTTGATTGACCAAGGTAGTTCTGCCGATGTTCTGTAATGGCCGACTTTCTTGAAGCTTGACATTCCTCATCACATGATCCAACCATATTCTGAACCCCTTGCTGGGTTCGCAGGTGAGCGAGTTCATACTCGTGATTTCGTTGAATTACTAACCTCTTTTGGTATAGCTCAGAATTCCAGGAGGATCTTGGTGAAATACCTGTTGGTTGACGCCGTCACTTCTTACAACATCCTCATTGGAAGACCAACTTTAAATCAATTAGGAGCAATCGTGTCAACGCCTCATTTAACTATGAAATTCCCAGGCACCAATGGGCACATAATAGCTGTCAAGGCTAATCAACAGATTGCAAGGAAATGTTATGCTGAAAGTTTGAAGATTACACCCCCCAATCTTCAACCTGAAGAGTCAACTTCTTCTGTCATTGCTCACATCGGTACAAGGGAAATGACCGACTTAGATCCCTGAGTTGATATGCATGACCACCGACCTGACCCTATTGACGAGTTAATTAAGTTTCAGATTGGCAGAAAGCCAAACCAATGCACCAAGATTGGCAAGCATATTGACCCTGATGTCCAAGGTAAAATCATGTCAACCCTTACTGAAAATGCTGATCTTTTTGCATGGAGTAGTGCAGATATGCTGGGGATAGATCCCAATTTCATATGTCACAAGTTGGCTATCCATAGAGAGGCACGACCTATATCTCAGAAGCAAAGAAAGATTGGCGGTGAGAGAAGAGAAGCTGTCAGGGCCGAAACGCAAAAGCTTTTGAAAGCCGGATTCATCAGAGAAATCAAATACACCACTTGGTTAGCCAATTGGTAATGGTTAAAAAATCCAATGGCAAATGGCGGATGTGTGTTGATTACACTGACTTGAATAAAGCCTGGCCAAAATGCTCTTATCCACTCGCCAGTATTGATAGAGTGGTTGATGGAGCCTCAGGGTATGCCATGCTCAGTTTCCTAGACGCCTATTCAGGTTATAACCAAATTCTGATGTACCCTCCGGATGAGGAGCACACTGCCTTTATCACGGAACAAACCAATTATTGTTACCATGTTATGCCCTTTGGACTCAAGAATGCAGGAGCCACATACCAAAGACTCATGGATAAGGTCTTCGGCAATCAGATCGGTCGTAATCTCGAGGTATATGTGGATGACATGGTTATCAAGACAGAATCCTCTAAAAATCATGTCCGAGATTTGGAAGAAATTTTCAAGCAAATCCGAAAACATAACATGAGATTAAACCCGGAGAAATGTGTTTATGGAGTTCATGGAGGCAAATTCTTGGGATTCATTATCACTTGTAGAGGAATTGAAGCAAATCCCGACAAATGTCAGGCGTTGATCAACATGAGAAGTCCCAAAAATCACAAAGAGGTGCAGAGGTTGGCAGGAAGACTTGCTTCGCTATCTCGGTTTATTCCGAAGCTAGCAGAAAAGGCCAAACCTATCTTCCATTTACTTAAAAATCCAAAAGAATTCTGCTGGAGTGACCAATGTGAACAAGCTTTCACCAACTTCAAGCAATTCCTGTCAACGCCACCCATCTTATCCAAACCAAATTACCAAGCTGACCTCCTATTATACCTTGCAGTGGCCGGCAATGCTCTTAGCGCAACACTTGTACAGGAGAATGACAAGAAACAAACTCCCATTTACTTCATCAGCCGGGTATTACAAGACACCGAGAGGAGATATCAGACAATAGAGAAGTTAGTCTTGGCATTGGTAGTTTCATCTCGCCGACTTCGCCCTTATTTCCAAAGCCATCAAATTATTGTGAAGTTGGATTACCCCATCAAGCAAATACTTAGGAAACTTGATCTGGCTGGACGGATGATAGCTTGGTCAGTCGAGCTCTCCGAGTATGGTATAAAATATGAAAGCCGAGGACCATTAAAAGCCCAATGTCTAGCTGATTTTGTTGTTGAGCTCACCCCTGTTCCACCTATGGATGAACAAATCTGGACGCTACACGTAGATGGATCTTCTAATGTGAAAGGCAGTGGTGCTGGCATTATTCTTGAAGGGCCAAACGACATGATGCTCGAACTTGCTATCAAATTTGATTTCAAAGTTACTAATAATCAGGCTGAATATGAGGCTCTGTTAGCAGGTTTAACATTGACCAAAGACGTTGGTGTAAAGAGATTAAGATGTTGCAGTGATTCCAAGCTGATTACCGAACAAGTAGGAGAAGGATATCAGACTAAAGAACCCCAACTTCAAAGGTACAATCTTATGGTATCCCAACTAACATCTTTTTTCGATAATTTGAAAATAGAGCACATCCCAAGAGCGCAGAATGTGAGGGCCGATTTATTATCAAAGCTTGCTAGCACTAAGCGCCCTGGCCAACATAAGACCATCATTCAAGAAACAATAGTTGCCCCTAGTTGCCAAGTTACAACAATTTCTGTCAGCAATTCCTACCAGCAAGGTTGGATGGCCGACATTTGGAAATATCTTAAAGATGGGACCTTGCCAGATAGTAAAGTAGAAGCTTCCAAAATTAAAAACAAGTCATGCCACTTTACGATTGAAGCGGATGAGTTGTTCAAACGAGGCTTCTCCATGCCTCTCCTCAAATGCTTAGACACGGATCAAGCCAACTATGTAATGGATGAGATCCACCGCGGAATCTGTGGCATGCATTCTGGAGCTCGGTCCATGGCTGCCAGAGTTATCCGAGCTGGATTCTACTGGCCAACTATGAGATCAGACTGTAAGTCATATGTGCAGAAATGCAAAGCCTGCCAAGAGTTCGACAATCTACACCAGTTACCTCCAACAACTCTACATTCGATGCAGTCAGCATGGCCCTTTTCCTGGTGGGGGATGGGTATCCTTGGTCCTTTTCCAATAGCCAAAGGTCAACTAAAGATTATTGCGGCCAATGTCCAAAGATTTACATGGAAGAAAATTATTTGTAGGTATGGCATACCTCAGGCTATAACTACTGATAATGGAAAACAGTTTGTTGATAAAAAGTTTGAGCAATTTTTCGGGCAACTCGGAATCAATCAAAAAGTTACTTTGGTTGAACATCCACAAACAAATGGACAAGTTGAAGCTGCCAACAAGGTTATCCTTAGAGAACTCAGGAAAAGACTTGGCTCATCAAAAGGAGAATGGGTGGACGAGCTCCCTGGTGTTTTATGGGCCTATCATTGCACACCACAGACCACCACTCAGGAAACCCCATATAAATTGACTTATGGGTCCGATGCCATGATACCAGTAGAGGTCGAGGAACCAAGTCACTGAAGACTAACTTTTGATACAACTCAAAATATGGAAGCCCTGAGAACCGATCTCGATCTCGTAGATGAAACTAGAGAGTGCGCTCGAGTTCAAGATGAGGCATGTAAGCTCAGAGCATCTCGGAGATACAATTCCAAGCTTAAGCCGAGATCTTTCCGAGAAGGGGACCTGGTTTGGAGAGCTGTTGGAGACGCTAGAAAAGACATATCAGCGGGAAAATTCGCAACTAATTGGGAAGGCCTTTTCCGTATCTTAGAATGTCTGCACAATGGTGCATACAGGCTGACAGAATTGGGTGGCAAAGTTATCCTAAGAACTTGGAACGCTACTCATTTGAAATTTTATTATAGCTAAAATGTGTAAACCCAGGTATTGTACTCTTTTTCTTACTTTAGTCTTTTTTCCCAAAAAAAAAAAGGGTTTTGGCTAAAGAGGTTTTAACGAGGCATACCTGGGGAAGTAGAAGAGATGTAATTGATGTCTAATCTTATAATATACATTCTCTCTTCTCTCAACTTAGTCCTTTCTTTTGCATTCTATTTAATTATTACAGTCTTTGCCCCAGAAATTACATGCAATTATTCCATATTAATAAAATTGCAATCATCTTATATTAATTAAAAGGCCAAGTTTGAGCCAATGTCAATAAAATTGGCCAAGTCTGAGCCAGTAATCAATAAAGGCCAAGTTTGAGCCAATGTTAATAAAATTGGCCAAGTTTGAGCCAGTAATCAATAAAGGCCAAGTTTGAGCCAATGTTAATAAAATTGACCAAGTCTGAGCCAATGCCCATGAAATTTGGCCAAGTTTGAGCCCATTTCGTCATATAATACTCGGCCAAATCTGAGCCAATGCTATCATTTGCATACGATACTCGGCCAAGTTTGAGTCGAATTTTATATTTATCTATAATTTAGCCAAGCTTGATCAAAATTTATGCTTCGTTCATAATACGGCCAAGTTTGAGTCGATCCTATTTTATTAATATATTGGATAAATTGGCCAAGTATGAGCCAATTTTACTACTTCAAGCATAAGGCATTTGACTTAATCTCAATTCACAACATGGCCAAGTTTGAGCCTACTTCATCTTTCATACTAGTGTCAATTTCCTCTTTGTTTTTACTTTAGCTAAGTTTGAAGTCAAACCGTATTCACGACAAATATTAGAGCTTTAATCAAGCTTTCATCTTACTTGACATTCACGAGTCAAATTTAAGCATAACAATGTAAATAACTTAACATCCAAAACATCACAACATCGTCAAAAATTACATATTTAGCCTATGAAGGCAGGAGAAAGCAGTAGTAAACATAAATCCTAAATGCAAAATACCCTAGAAATCATCAAATTAGCAAAGCTACTCATTATTCTCCTCGTCGCTTACATCATCAGGGATGTCATCTTCATTAACAAGTTTCCCTTTGAAAACATCCTTGGTGATGCGAACTTCTCCCAATTCGACATTTGGGGCAATAACTTGTACTTGTCTTAGTGCTTTCGCAAAACCCCTTTTGTGCTCTACAACCACTTGGTACTCGGTAGCCTCCATGTCACCCTTCATCTTTTTGTTATCATTATCTAGTTCCCCAATCTTTTTCACATTAATGGCAATGACTTCTTGGCAGGACTTGTTTTTCTTGTATAGCTCTACCATCTCGCCCTTCATGTTTTGAATATTCCCCTCATAGTCCTTTGTTTTCTTTTCCAACATCCTCACGTTCTCTGCTTGAGCTTCTTTTTCTTTTTCCAACAGATTCACCTTCTTCAAAAGATCCTCAACTTTTGCTGCATAAGATTTATTTGATCTCATCGAAATTTCAAAGGCCTTGGAATTTTCCTCCAATTTTCTCTTCAAATCGCCAACCTCATTAATCAACGACCCAACCTGCGCATTTTCAGTTCTCAGTTTGGACATCAATGTAGCATTCTTTTCCCACTTTTCCTTCCAATGATCCACCACAGCGATGGATCTTTGTAGAAATACTTGCACTGAGTCCAAACCTTGAACAACTCCAACCTTTTCAATTAATGCTTTATCAACAATATAGGCTGGATCCTCCTTGTAGAATGCATCTGCAGTCAACTCGGCAGTCCAAAAGGAAGTCACGTCGGGTGACATGCTTACATGATCCAACCTTGATAACGGATTCTCCGTGTCATATCTTTAATGCAATGATCTCGGC